ATTAGCTAGTTTGTCTCATGGGCTTTGTTCTCACGTTTGATATTCATGGGCTTTGTATCTGTGTTTGATTTTGTGGCCTTGAGCTGCATTTGGTTATCCTTACCCTCGTAGATTGTGTGTCCACGTTTGTTTCGTGGCTTCAGCTACGTTTGATTACTTACCCTTGTGGACTATGTGTCCACGTTTGTTTTTGTGAAATGAGCCGTGTTTGGTTATCCTTACCCTCGTGGATTGTGTATCCACGTTTGTTTCGTGACTTCAGCTACGTTTGATTACTTACCCTCGTGGACTGTGTGTCCACGTTTGTTTTCGTGACATGAGCCGCGTTTGGTTATCCTTACCCTCGTGGATTGTGTATCCACGTTTGTTACTTGTTCTATTAAGTCTTCAAAAATTTGAATTTTGAAACTCACTGGTTTGAAATTCCAATGGCTTCAATTAGCAATTGTATTATTTATTTATTTATTTATTTATGACTAATTTGTTTTCTTTAACAAGGATAGAATAAAGTGTTTTCAATTTACTCTCATTTCATGACTATGATTATGATTTATAGATTTATGAAGTTATTATGTTGGATTGTCGTCTTTTCAATTATTTACACAATTATTTGAGTTTATTATTTTAATTCTTTTAAATTCGGTTTTGGGGATGTTATTTACTGAAAAATTTATTTTGGTCTTAGATTTATTAGTTGATGCTGCTCCTATCGCTGACCTCAAAAGGGCAATATTGGGTGGAAATTTTGCTTGGTATTGTTACCTTTTAATGTAAATATTTAAGTCTTATGTATTTTAATTTAGAGAAAAAGTAGTTGCTCCACATAGATTATTGTGAGAATTTTATTTTGTTTTATATATTGTTTGCTAGCTAGAAAGAGCTAAGTTCTTGATTGATATTATATTTTGTGGAATATTTTTTTATGTTAAAGAATTTTTGAGAGACTTTATTTACAGAGGAGGTTCTATCAAAATTTTTATAAAAGCTTTGAAGCTTTGCTTTGACAATTAGTATTAAAAGTGTTAGAACTTTCACATGACTTGATTATTTAAAAGCAAAATGAAATGAATTTTCACTTTAAGGCTTACAGGAATATGCAATGTAGTTCGCACCCGTACCGGTCACCCTCTATTTTTGGGGCGTGACAAAAATGGTTGACCGCTGCTCTGTCGTTTCTACTCCACCCTTTAGACAATATCTGGCAATATGGCCTAGCTTACCGTACTTGAAACAGGACTAGCATTTACCCGCATGGAATCTATCACATTGATTACATTAAGGTGATCTTCTAGTACTCAAGGTAGGAGCCGGTACATTAGAGGCTTACCTTGAGGGTTGCAAAGGTCCAATTCTAACTTTAGTACTTCGCTACATTGAACCTCTTTGAATTAACCAGGTTTGAGAACCTTTGGCAAAACTCCTCTTTCCTAAAGCCCCATAATTGCTTGAGCTGTAACTGGGCTTCTTCGAAACACTGCCCGTCGATCCCAAAAAAGATAAAAATCTTCCCATACCTTCTCTCTTTCTTCCAGCCTCAACTTCCCTACCTCTCCTCGCAAACTTGTGACACATTTCTTCATCAATAGTCACATCAAGCAAAGCAATCTGTCGTCGATACTTTGGATGCATTTTCTCTAACAACCTTACTACTTTATGTCATTATAATGCCACAAATACATAGAGTAGGTCAACAAATCATTAAACCTACTGATAAATTCCTCCTCATCCAGATCCCATTGCCTAAATAAGTGAAATTCCTCCTCTTTCTTAATATGAAAGGAGACTCAAAAATAGTAGTCAAAGAATATTTTCTTGAATTCCTCCCACGACTACCTTACACCCCTAGATAGCAATATAAAATCCTAGATTCTTTTGGCTACTCCTACCAATTGCACAGTAGCCAGGGTTACCTTCTACTCTGATATGCAAATCACTATCTCAAATATGGTCTTAAGGCGCCCTATCCACTGCTTAGCCTCACCCTGCTTCACACTCCCGTCGAAAGGTGGTGGATTAAACCTCACAAAAGTTTTCCAGGCTCAATCTATAGACGAATCAGCATCAACACCAACTACATGCCTACTGCCTAAACCCTAAGATGGTTCGGGTCTACTATGGGCTTCTTCTTGCATCGGTCAATCTTGACCTTCCCTTCTATCCCCTTGATCTCTATCTCTCAACAACACATCATGGTCCTCCTTATATCCACAACTATGTTTCATCAACTCCTCTAATAAATTATACCTCCTATCTCATTGTTGATGCTCATTTGATTGAACCTTTGGTACAAGTTCATCATCTACTAGTAAGCATCTCAAAGCTTGAGTATTTCTTCTCATTTTCTCCCCTCCTTAGGATGAAAAGAAAAAAAAGGTGAGGAAAAAGGGAAAGAGTGATGTAATAAAAAGATATAAGTTATCAGTAACTAGGATGAATGCAAGTAATAATCATAAGAACCAGATCTCGAAATACAAGAAATTGATACCAACAATTGCAACGCTCTTTCAGACATTACAGTTATCACACACAATCACACTTATGTTCCCATTTGAAAACCATAAAAAGTTTTTAAAATCATAGAATTGGAATTCCAATTTAAAAAACTTGAAAATCATTTCAAACATGCTCAAAATAGGTATTATTACACAGCGGGGGCATCAAAATCATCCACATATAACATTAGGGGAAAATGGAAGTAAAACAACATAAAAAGGATAGAATAAGCCAATGTGTTGTGGCTTGTGCTACATGCGCCGCAGCATGTGGTACAGGGGCATGGGCACTGGTTTTGTGTTATGCACCATGACGCATAAATTAGAATCTGCTGTTAGTATAACAGTTCTAATACAAACTTTAAATGTGCAACATTTTTACATTCGATGTTTGATTGAGATAATTCAAGCTCCCACTCAAAGTTTATTTTAAAGTCTTACTAATGACATTGATTTCATTGTTTAACTGTTTTACACCAAATTCTTTCACCCGAACGTCTTAATTCTAAACTATATGTCATTGGCCGTTTTTAAGGCCTTAACCACGTCCAAAGAGACAATTAATACCTGATTAATCATACATATACACATTATCATGTATATATACAAGTTTGGCCAATCAACTGCCCATTACTCACACACTTAGGCATAGTATACACATTTACACACAAAGTTGGCCAAACCCTACTATCATACTTAAAATATTCACATATACATTTTCAATGCTATGCCATAGCCCTTGGCTATACAATTGCCACACATATCATATAATATCACATAAAGGGCTTAGTATCAAAATCTCACACATTTTTGCACACACAGGATTATGCCCTATGACAACTTATATGCAAGTTCATAATCTATATCACACATATTCATTACACCAACCTTTAAATGGGCTTAAAAGAGAAATCCTTTAATCTTGGTCTGTATCTTTTCCTGTTGCTCTATCAATGTTAAAATCTGTAAAAATATAAATAACCATGAGTGAGATAATAATTTCAGTAACCAAAATAGCTCATTAAATGTTCATTAACATGGATAACTAGATATCAGTAAACAAAGCCAAAGTGATAGTCTATATATATATATATATATATAATTTTCCCTTTACTGAATATTTTTACAAAATCACACATATTAGCATGATCACCAATTCACCAAACCTCCAAACTCTCTAATTAAAACCATAGACTTGACCCAAGCACACTTTTAGTGATAAAAACACCCAGCTAAAAGTATTTTATTCCACTTAACCTATGGTTTCCCTTTCACATACACATATGATAGGGGTGTTGTTGACTTCTAACCACACCCACACAGGCATTACAGGCATTAAGGAGTTGCCAAACTATCCAGATATCCCATGATAACATCCCAATAAAATGCTGCATTCGATGTCTCATGGTGTAAGCCTGACCATATGGATTTTGTTCACACACACATCCATATATACACACAAGGTGAACTCCCACCCATTACTATGATCATGCTTCCATCAGGTACATTTCACCACACTTACACATACAACATATATATATATATATATATATCAGTTTCATTTGAAAGCTATTAATAACCATTTATGCATTTTCTAAACACATTTAATACTAAAATCATGCACATTATAAAACATTTAAATCCAGAAATCTTGAAGTCATTAAAGTTATATTTTCACCTTTATTTCTATACAGTTATATTAGTTAAGAAACATAACAAATTATATGGTTATCTCAATCTTTCTATTCTTAAGAAAGGTTACCCATAGTATAACTTGCTCACTCAAACGCTTATTGTTTGATCAATGCATTGCACACAATAATCTACACAATAATAGCATCTAGAGTCAATTGTCACATTGACTAAAAGTACTAATTGCATCACTTATAATTTGGGAAGAAGGGAGTATCTTTTCAATTCATTAACCTTAAAACCTTTAGTTTTAAATAATTATTTTTTGTTCCTGTCATTGTTATTTTTTAAACAAAATTAAACTTAATATATTAACATTTGATGATGTTTTATCAATATTTAAAAGTTTAAAGTTAAAAATTTATGTAATAAAACAAACAATGTTAAAGCTAAAAGATTGAAAATACACTTTACAAAATTATGGAACCAAAATGAAATATTATGTAATCTTAAAGGATTAAATGTATACTTTAACCTATAAAATATTATAGAATAATCATAATAGTGAAAGATATGGTGGATGAAAAACACTCACATGATATTATAATATTCATTCATCATTCATAACAAGAATTAATTTATTAAAAATAAAAAATTAAAATCACAAATGGGCCTGAACAAAGTTTGGGCCTAAAGCTTGGTCGATTCGAACGGGCAATGCAAACCATATGAATATAGTGGTCTATACAAAAATTGACAATCTTACGGTAACAGTTGTGCTAAGTTGACCACAAGTGTCCTCTTGGCCACACAAAAGAAAGAGACCGAAGTGTTCTTATTTTAAAAAAAAAAAACGAAAAAAACGAAAGACCAAAGTCAGGTTGTGTCACCACCGGACCCCCCAAATCCTCGAGGAGCTCTCTCCCTCTCTCTCTCTCTCTACAATCTTTCACCCTAGCTCCTCCTGTCCTCCACCTTGTCGCGCTCTCGCCCTCGCACTTGATTTTCTTACCAATCTCTCTTCTCATTTCTGCCTACCACTTCACCGTCTCAGCTCCAAACCTCAGCTTTATCGCAATCTCTCTCTCTTCTGACACCCTTTCAGGTATTTTTACCCTTTTTCTTTCTCACCGGCTTTCAAATTTTATTGCCTTTTGTTCTTCAATTTGGGGCACTTACTGCAATTGCTACTTCTCCTGCAATTTGACAAGCGTATATATTCCCGCGCTTTCCCTTTATTGCTCTCGTTCTTCGTTCTTCATTTTCCTTCTTCACTTTTACACGTTTCATCTTCATTCCGCGTTATTGAATCTCTTTGTATAAGAATAGCACAGCATAGCTTCCTGGGAATTCCTCTGGGTCCAAAATCTGTTGCCCTTAGGCTAACTATTAGCGGTTCTTATTGGTTTTGAGAGTAAAATGATTTTCTTATCCCAGAATGGTTGAAATGAAGCTTCCTTTTATTTATTATTTATTATTTTGAAATGAAAAATGAACTTAAAGATTTTGCTTGTTGTATTGAGAGAGGGTTTGCCCCTCGACATCCTTTTCCTCACTAGATATTTCTTTTAGGGTTTGGTGATATTTGAATTTTCCTTTGTGTCCAGTGGTTCATTTGTTCTTCTATTTTACTTAGAAAGCGATATCGCTTAAAACATTTATTTGCCTAGAATCTCGTATTGCTCATGGTTTATTTTTTGCACCTGTTCTTTTGTTTTTTTTTTTCATGGTTATTCTTCTAGTTTCAATGGCATAGCGTATTCTCTATCTTTACTAGATTAGTTATGGTGTTGGAATTCTATATATTTTAAAAGTCTATATGAATGATAGGATATGATTGACTTGTTTGCATGAATTGTGAGGCTGTTTGCTCTATTTATGTGATCTCAATTTCCTGAGCTATTTCTGTAAAAACTGTTAATTCCAAGACTGTTTTTGAATCTCATTCTAATACTCCAGAACTTTCTGGATGCAAACTTCTTGTTTGTCCCCCAGAAATTGATGTGATGTATATGCTAACACTTTCCAGAGTTGAATGATGGCTATTGAGGCTTCTGGTAAACTGAATGTGTCAGATGATTTTGATGATGATGATGGACCGGTAATTTTTAAAAGGAGTAATCCAACACCTAAGAAAAATCAGCTGCTTTCAGAAGTAAAGAAGTCAACTTCTAGTCTTGATGGGCTATCACAAAGGAAAACTACTGATATGCCTTCATCCAATGGCCAAAATTCTGGAGTACAGAAGAGCAAGATAATTCCATCGGTCAAGACATCACCCACAAAGGCTTCTGTAGATATCTCCAAAGCATCAACTTCACGTGTCTGTTCTTCTAATGTGAAGTCGCCTGTACCAAATCCTAAAGCATCTTTGTCAGGAGATAAATCAAAGTCTCTTTCGGGATCAAGAGTTCTCAATGACGTTAAGGAGGAAAAACCCTGTGTAAAACATCTTCCGAAAGAAAACTCTGAAGATTCTGAGGATGATGAGGATAACAAACCATTGAGTGCTAGGCTGAAAATAAACTCTAATCATTATAGCAAAGCCACTCCTATTGTGAAGAAGCCTATTGAAGACTCTGATGATGATGATGATCTTCCTTTGTCAGCAAGATTGTCACGGAATGCAGGAACATCTGGAACTGGATATGTGCACTCTGATAAGAGAAAACCTCTTTTGAAAGTTCAGAAAAGTCTTCAAGGAGGCTCCAGCACCAGTATTAAACAGGAAAAGATGGTTACAGCATCAGTTAAGAGGCCACTGGATAAGACTAGTTCCCTGAATTCTTCTGTGAAGAAGCCAAAGCTCTCAGATCCAGCTTCATCAATGAAAATTAAGCAAGTGTCTTTGAAGCATGAGTCGAAAGTAGATGATGATGATGATGATGATATTCCTATTTCCCAAAGATTATCAAAGTCTTCTGCATCAGGAAATAAGTCATCGTCAGTGAAGAAGATTGAAAAGGCAGTTAAAGTTAATAAGGCTGGTTCAGCATCGTTTAAGAAACCGGTCAAGAAACCAGTCAAGAAGTTGAAAAAATCAGGCAGCAATTCAGAATATTCCAAGTCTACAAAACTCCTTCCTAGTGCAGGAGATGGGCAGAAAAAGTGGACTACTTTGGTTCACAATGGTGTTATTTTTCCACCACCTTACAACCCTCATGGAATAAAGATGCTCTATAAGGGGAAACCGGTCAATTTGACTCCTGAGCAAGAGGAGGTGTTGCTTTATTTCTGTAAAATTATTTTGTTCCATTTTTTTATCTGTTTCTGAGGAAATGATGAGCTTTAATCATTTTGCCATCAAAGTTTTTCATATTATGAAATATCCATAGGAGATTCTGACAGTGTAAATGAACTTTAAATATATTTGCAGGTTGCCACTATGTTTGCTGTGATGCGAGATACAGATTATATGCAGAAAGAAATATTCAAAAGAAATTTCTGGAGTGACTGGCGCAAATTGCTAGGAAAAAACCATATAATTCAGAACTTGGAAGATTGTGACTTTACCCCAATATATGACTGGTATCAAGTTGAAAAAGAGAAGAAGAAACAAATGAGTACAGAAGTAAGTTAGTAGCTAGCATGACCTTTTTTTTTTCCCCTTTTTACAATAACAAGGATCAGTATTATAACAAAGCATCATTCCCTCTGTTGAATGGATACAACTTTAATTATAACGTTAATGTTGATGGTCTGACACTTAAAAACTCTCCATATTTTGGTTAGTTTATTGCATGTTACATCAGCAGGTATTAATTGATGTGAGATTTTATTTTGACTTGGTGCTGGTGTTGTGCTTGATGATGTCTTGACTGCTCAACTGATAGATTAATGCATTACATTGATCTTACTGCTCATTTTAATAGATTCTTATAACATGCATGATATAAGCTGATTTGTTATTGTAAACTATCTCTCTCATAGTTGATTGTGTTTGGCGAGTTCCATGGTTAGTTAGCTTACCCAAGTCAGAATCTTACATATCAACATGTAAATGTCTATCGCTGTTGATTTATTGATATGAATATATGAAATGTCTGATAAAAATAAACATAAGGTATATGCATAAATTAAGGAAGAGGCCCATTCATGTCAATCATTTTCACCGCATTAACGCACCCCACTGTCATCAGCAAGATCATATTGGATTGGTATCATCTAATGTATTAAAATAATTGAAGGTGGAAAAAAAAAATTATCCTTATCATGCGTCCTATGTTATTTTAGTGATTGAGCTGTGTGCTTTAGTGCAACTGGGACTTTTGTGGGCTGGTGTAAGTTGGGTTCAGGGATTTGGTCAGGGACAGAAAAAGGCCAAAAACAACCCATTACTAGGTTGCTGCAGAAATTGTGATGCCTGCAATCTTGATTTGTGCTGTGATCGTACAATCTCAACTGAGTTTTGTGCTTTTTCTGAGTCTTTCTAGAGAACCAAGCAGAGTTCCATATATGATATTGCTAATATGGATGATTCTATGACATAAAATTAAAACTCATTTTCAACGACCATGTTTTGAATTAGAATAATATGACCCTTCACTAATGCCTTTTGCTGCAAGGCTCAGCATGACTTGGGCTCCAGCCTTCAAGAGCATGCACCATGTCCCGTGGCTGTTGCAATTGTGTTCTACGTGCCATCAACAACTGTGATGTTTCTTTATGCTCTACACCCAAAAAGAAAATAATCCAAGCATGCTTTGATCCATGATTTGGTGTGACAAATTTCTGTCGTTAATTCTGCAGCATTTTTGCTTGATTACTTGATTGGTGGTCAAATTGAAGGTGAAATATATCCTTCACTGACTTTTGCATGTTGGAATTGGATGTGGTTGTAATAGGACTCGGTTTCAGTGCTCATCCTAAGATGAGCACCGTGGTGCTCAGCACCAAAACACTGCCGTTTGGCAGTGTTTTTTTTTTTTTTTTTGCTTTTTTAAACTATAAATTTATTATAATAATAAATAAATATTATAAAATTATTATTTTAATATTTAATAAACAAATAAATATTAAGATGTTAAAATTAAATATGAATAGATTAACTCATTAAAATATGATTTGAATAGTTCATATATAAATTTTGATCTGAACAGTTCAGAACTGTATTGAAAATATTAAAATTATAAATAAAAATATTTTTTTATTTTATTAATTTTGCATAGTTATTTATCTATGAGAGATAATATCATTCAAAGCATAGTTAGATATTAAATATAAGTACTTCTCTTAATAAAAATTCAAATATTGATTTATAACAGTGTAAGAAATTAACTCATTTTGCTAGATTCAACTCTTATTTTAAATTATTCAGATCATTTTTTATTTTTCAGTACAGTTCTCAATGCTCATAGCAAAATTTTCATTCAAACTATTTAGGTTCAATTTTAACATCTTAATATTTATTAGTTTATTAAATATTAAAATAATAATTTTGTAATAATTATTTATTATTATAATAAATTTATGATTTAAAAAAAGGGAAACCAAAAAAAAAAAAAAAACACTGCCAAACGGCAGTGTTTTGGTGCTGAGCACCACGGTGCTCATCTTAGGATGAGCACCGAAACCGAGTCCGTTGTAATAAACATAAAAAGTGATTTCCTTATTGTGCCAGTTAAAAATATTTTTCCTAAAATTAATTATGTTATTATTTTCCTTATTGTTCCAGTAATTTTCCTAACATGCATGGTGAGTTCATAATGGGTCCACAATCACGTAACTAATTTGGGTAGTTTTTAGGGAGTTTGGGTCACTATTGTGTAGTTCGAGGTTAGGTTCCTGATAAATCTATTGTCCTGGGGCCTTCATTTTTTATGCATGTTTCTGTTGGGATTTTGGGTGGATAAGTTGCATAAGACTAAGTCAGTTGAAGGTGTTATAATTAATTTCTTTCTATTGGATAACTGCTGACTTTCTTGTCTTGTGTTCATGCAGGAAAAGAAGGCCCTCAAGGAGGAGAAAGTTAAGCAAGAGGAGAAATATATGTGGGCTGTGGTTGATGGTGTTAAAGAGAAGGTACTTGAACGCCGGAATCTCAAATTTCCCCCACTCCTAAAAACTTCTTCAACTCCCAAGCTATAATTCAACTTCTTGTGGCTTCTGCAATCCGTTGTTTTTTTTTTTTTTTTTGCCTCTCGTGTGTTGGCTAGAGAATTTTTGACTGTGTATTATAACAGACAAGCCTTACATATCAAAATGATTTGTATTAATTCATTCACAATTATTTCCTATACTTGCTCCCGGCAAAAGAGGTTTGTGTCAATAACCCTAACAACCCTTTATCTAACTTGCCCTTCCCCTTTTCAATTCGTTTATATCAGTGGCTTTTCAGACATTATTTGGTTCTGTAGCTCTCTTTGGTGCGCATCTCTCATTTTTTTAAGCATATCTTTTTGTTAAATACATTTATTTTGTAAAATTGATGGTTGTTTGTTTTCCTATTTTAAATACTTTTATGCTCTTCAATGTTGTCTCGTGTGTTCATGAAGTTGAACTTATGATTCTTTTCTCCTATTTGAGTTCTAGCTAAGAAATCTGAATTATCTTGGTTTTTTTCTTTGCAAGTTGCTAATTTCAAGCTCCCTTTGGTAAGGCGTTAGAGTTTTGACTATATATTAATGACAATTTATTGTAGGTTGGAAACTTTAGAGTTGAGCCACCAGGGTTGTTTCGAGGTCGTGGAGAGCATCCGAAGGTTACTGTCTTAGCTAATTAATAGTAGTATAGCTTTTCAGGATGTAATGGTTTCATCCGTGACATCATGTTGAATATTTTACCAGATTTTATAACATAACTGTTAATTTCTATTTGTTATTAGATGGGCAAACTGAAAAGGCGCATCCGTCCAAGTGATATCACAATTAATATTGGAAAGGATGCTTCAATTCCTGAATGCCCTATTCCTGGTGAAACGTAAGTTCCTTTAATATGTTGGAGAGGAGGAAAATTTGTAGTATCATGTCTACGTCAAAGCTGAAAGTCAATGTTATTTTTGATTCCTTGGGATTTGTGACCTTGGTAGATGGAAGGAGATAAGGCATGACAATACAGTTACATGGTTAGCATTCTGGAATGATCCGATTAACCCAAAGTTGTTCAAATATGTTTTCCTGGCTGCTAGTAGCTCCTTAAAGGGGCAAAGTGATAAGGAAAAGTATGAGAAAGCTAGGATGCTGAAGGTACCTTCGTGCTTTATATTTTTAATGAACTCCATTTGTGTTTTCATTCATGATACTTTAGGTTGAGATTTCTAGTAACCTTTTTTAATTTATATAGATATTGGTTTTTCGGTGCAGAATTATATAGGGAACATCAGGGCTGCATACACGAAGGATTTTACAATTAGAGATATTACAAGGCAGCAAATAGCTGTTGCCACTTACCTTATCGATAAGTTAGCTCTGAGGGCTGGCAATGAGAAGGTATTGTCTAGGGAAGCTGTTACTCATTTGTGTTCACTGCAGATCACACGTACAATGGATGAAAAGAGTACAACACTCATGCCTAATCATAAAAGCATGAATTATTTTGAATGCTTGTCAAATTCATCAATGAACTTGAAGTTCAAGTCCTTGCTATATAAAATCCACATGCAATCATGTTTCCAAGTTCTTGTCTATTGAAAGAGGTAATATTTAGTTAATGGTGAAGACTGTACCGTATGAACATTTGCACTAAAGTAATTATAGAATGAATAATGTGGAGTTCTAAATGGTGAAGTTGTATTTTCTTCAGTATGAATTAGCATTCCTGGATTTACTGAATGTACTTGATGCAGATTCTACTTGCAGCATTGCTGGTGTTTTCATTTATCTTTGTTGTCTGATATTTTGATTTTTAACCATTTTAAAAAAGGAAAAAATATTATTGAGCATTTAGTTATTTTTGTTTCCTTTCCTCAGGATGACGATGAAGCTGATACTGTTGGTTGCTGCACATTAAAAGTGGAAAATGTAACAGCAGAACCCCCCAACAAGTTGCAGGTGTTACGGCTTTCAATTTAGCACTTTTTTTTTTGGCTGGGAACAGCTGATGAGATTATAAGTCCTTAGGTTCAAGGATTTTAAATTTCAATTTCGTCTTGATCTTTTAATCTTTTAATGATACCAGCTCTTTTAAAACTTTCTTCCAATAGTAATCAATTTTTCTTCTTTGGCTTAATGCAGTTTAACTTCCTTGGTAAAGATTCAATCAAGTATGAAAATACAGTAGAGGTTGAACTTCCTGTTTATAGTGCAATTTTGAAGTTCCAAAAAGGTGGGAAGTTGGTTCATATTTTGATGTTTTATCTATGCTTTGTTACTGAGGTCCTTGAGTATTTGATATTCTGATCTTCAGATAAACGCCCTGGTGATGATCTCTTTGACAAGCTAGATACAAGTAAACTAAATGCTCACCTGAAGGAACTAATGCCTGGCCTAACAGCTAAAGTCTTCCGTACTTTCAATGCATCTATCACATTGGATGATATGGTAATAATTGTTTCAGTCTGCAAATCAAGCTATGCCTTGAAACGACTAAACTGTAGCTCCATTTTCTAATATGCTTTCTACATACCCTTTAATTATACTTCTGCCAATAATTGTATTTTTTTACATTAAAATTGTTTTTTCTATCTTTTTTTTTTTCTGCCTCAGGTGAGGAGAGAGTGCCCCAAGAGAGCAATACATCTTTCATTGGAGTTGAAATTTTACCTTAATTATAAACTTGTAATACACTTCTAGAATGCTTTACTTAAATTCATGATTCCCACCTATATGCTATATACCCCATGGTAATCATATGTTACTTTGTTCCTCATAACAAAATGCTATCATGCATATTGTTGTTGAGTGTATTAATTGTTTTTACATTAGTGATTTCATTCTGGCATGTCACCAGAAAGTTGTATATTTAATTTTCTGGGATTCTTTGATAACAGTTGAATAAGGATACTAAAGATGGCGATGTTTTAGAGAAAATTGGTGTCTATCAGGTTGCAAACAAGCAGGTGAATTGGCTCAATATACGTGCAACATACTGATGTTACTTCTATGTATCCTTTTGCGCACTTTTTCAGCTGTATTGCTATTATCTTTTGATGACAGGTTGCAATAATATGTAATCATCAACGTAGTGTTTCAAAATCTCACAGTGCACAGATGTCAAGATTAACTGAGAAGATTGATGAACTTCAGGTACTGAATCCCTGAGCATTAGTGAATTTAATGGCTGGTGTTGCAATTAGATTAAACTCGGATTTTTTCTCATAAATTTATAACTCAAGCTGACCTACTCTATACTCGTAGGGTGTTCTGAAGGAGTTGAAAACAGATTTGGACAGGGTAAAGAAAGGAAAACCTCCTCTGAAGAGGGCTGAGAGAAAAAGGAACCTAACTCCTGATGCGTAAGATTGCTTTCTTCATACCTTAGGCATTACCTGTTTGGTTTCAGTATATAATTATTGTCGTTGTAATCAACAGGCTGGAGAAGAAGATAGCCCAAACCAATGCAAAAATTGAGAAGATGCGACGTGATATGAAAACAAAAGAAGATCTCAAAACCGTGGCATTAGGAACGTCCAAAATAAACTACCTGGATCCCAGGATTACAGTGGCTTGGTGTAAGCGGCATGAGGTTCCTATTGAAAAGGTGCTGGCTTCTTCACTTGTTCAGATGAAATTATTTTAGTCATGATAGTTTTTTGTGCTGCCGGAGCTGGAAAAGAGTTTAATGGGCTTGAAGAAATAATTTTTTTTCTTTTTTTTTTTTTGCAAACAAAGTAAGATATACTTGTAACATGTTTTTTCATATTAATCGGAATGCTTTTATTTCGTTGTTTCAAGTCTCTAAAGTTTCAAATGTCTGCACTATTAGTTCTTATCATCACCGGTAGAGTTAAATTTGCCGATGTGTTCATAATTGGTTAATGTTGTTGACGAGTTGATAAAATTATAATGAGTTAAAAATTGTGTGAGCGAAATAGTTACTAATCTTCCTGCCTTAAAAATTGTGTGAAAAAATTATGATGAGTTAAAAATTGTGTGAGCAAAAGTTGATAAAATTTATAAAAAGTCATTTTTTGGAAGCTGTCAATGGGGGGATTCATTTTCTAATCTTGTGCAATGTACTGGAAAATGTATTTATTTCCATGCAAATTGGCCGTACTTTTAGCCTTAACCTCACATTGTTGCTTTTTGGTACTCCTTGTTTGCCTGGAATGCTCAGATCTTCAACAAATCTCTGCTGGCAAAATTTACTTGGGCAATGGATGTGGATCCTGACTTCAGATTCTGAGATCTTTCATGGTGGAAGAGACTTAATCTTTTACTCATTTCTTTTACATAAAAAAATATTTTTTTTTTATTTGGTCAAGTCCAGCGGAAATTTATGTTGTAATTTCTTCTAATCTAATTATGGGTTGAGTTTGCCCCGCCATTGACTGCTTTTCGCCTAGAGTTTCAACCATTCATAGTTATGATTATCATGCCGCACTTTGGCAAAATATGGAAATGATGTGAATTTTTTCTAACTCATTTTTTTTTTAAAGAATAGCTAATTGTTTTTGCTTGTTGCCGTAATATGGTGTCGTTTTTCCAACCCCCCGCCCCCCCCCCCCCAACTCGCAATTTAAGTTGGTCAGTCTGTTGCTAGCAACATTATGATTTCATTTCTATTGAAGGAAAAAATTTATTTCGGTACTGGGTAGATATTTCAATTTAGTCACACGAGTGTACACTCAAATTAAAGAGTTTGCTGCAAGGGTTTTTATTCTATCTTATTTAGGACTTTATCCATATTTCAAGTTTGTTTTCTTTATCCATAGGTATCTTATTTAGGACTGTATCTGGCATCTTTAGGTAGTAGGTTAATTTTGCTTTGAATGTTGCTTCAGTATAGCAATTTTGTAACGCGAAAATTAATTTGTTAAAATTTAAGTCCATTTCTATAGGTCAATGATCAAAATCTTGTATTCAATATATTTTCTTTATTGCAAGTTGCCAGACTGAAGTGCTTTTTTGGATTACAAGTGGTAGCATGCGAGATGTGCTACTATGTGACGAGAACATTTCATGCTGAAGAGCTTTTTTAATAGCAAAACTATGCAATACCGGAGTCATAAACAAATGGTTCAATTGTTTCCGTTGTGTATCCAAAAGAAAAGTGCCTCCAGGTATTTTGACCCAGTCTTTCCTTCACACGATGGAAGTCATAAACTAAGGCTTGGTTTGGATAAAGAAAAAGAGAGAAGGAAAAAGGGAAGAAGGAAAATGAAGAGGAGAAATTTAAAAATGGTAAAAAAGTTTTAAAGAGTTTTCTTTAGTAATTGAAAAAATAATAATAAATGTTTTTTTGAATTATGTAAATGATATTTTGATCTTTTAAAATGTCATTATTTTTTAAAGTTTTTAAGAATTTTTCTATCATTAAAAAATTAATATAAATGATTAAATTATTCTTAATTCAAATATCAATTATCATTCAAAAGTTTTGTTTTAAGAGTCAACTTTTTTTTCTTAAAATTATAAAAATTTAACAGTAATTTAATAGTTTATATTTGAAATCATAATATTCATCAAGTGTTGCAAATATTAATTATCATTCATAAATTTTATTTTAAAATTTTTATAAGATTTATAACTTTTTTTAAATTGTAAGAATTTAGCAGTAATTCACAAGTTTGAATTAAGGATAGTTTAATTATTTTATATTAATTCTTTAATGATAGCAAAATCTCTAAGAACTTTAAAGGAATTATGGCATTTTGAAAAACCAAAATGTCATTTATATAAATAAAAAGGGTTTTATTATCATTTTTTCTTAATAATTTTGATAATTCTCTATTTTTGTTTTTATCAAAACGAAGGGTAATTCAACTCGACAATTAAAAGGATTGTCTTTAAGTTGGTCTGGGTTTTGGAAGGATTCATCTATTGGCAAACTCTGTCCCTCTGCACTGAAGGTCCAAGGTCTAAGGTTGCCACAATTCAGAAAGTTCCATCAACCAAATTGATTATAGCCATTGGATTTGGAAGTGTTTCATGGATTCTATTTTCTTTTGCCCCGTTTTAGCAAAACTCGTGGATATTTTGCAAGTGTATATCAAGTTAAGGGGGATAAATTGCAATGTTACCAAATTTCAAATTTTTGGATTACTAGTACATGAACACTTTTTTAAGTTTAAGAAAATAAATAAATAAGATGATCATATGTATAAGGGTTAAAGATAGTATTTACTTTTAAACTATACACAAGCACCTAGTTTCCTATACTTCATTTTGATAGAAGCTTCATTCCTTTAACTTGTAAAAACATTACCATTTGTGCCCTATTGTTAAGAAATAGAGCGAACTTGAAGAATTTTTTTTTTTAAAAAATATAAGTTTAGGTTCCTATATTTTATTCAAGTGTTATTATAGGTCTCTACACTTTTTTTTTTACTATTTTAAAGGTTCCTATATTTTTATTTTCTTGTGTTTTAAGTCTCTATAATATCATTCATAAAGAAACTTAGAATATTGACGAATAAAAATATAAAAATTTAGAAGATTAAAAAAAATATAAAAATTTATAATAAAATTTGATTAAAGTTCAAGAATTTAATGGTATGTTTTCTCATTTTCTTTTCAAAAAAATGTTGCATCCCTAAAAGCTGCCAAAGGAAAAAGGAGTAGGATATCTAATTATGTTTGGTGCCGTACGTTGGCTCTTCAATTCTTGTCTAGAGCCTGACAGCATCACTTACACGATTTATTGCCCTTTGCCAACCGCGCTATGTCCTTTCTCACTTCCTAACTATTCCCAATCGCTCCCAGTGTCGCTGTACCTCAAAGATCAAAATCAATCAAAACAAATTAAACCTCAAATGAACTCAATTCAATGTTACTAACACACTAATCCATCAAACTTAAGAGAATTTTAAAAATCTAGAGTGTTACACCTAAAATTGTAAAGAAGCCTTACAATTCATCATGGGTGTGGAAGGGTTAATCATTTCCTATATAAAACTGAAGGTTGGCAATGGAACTTCTATCCTTATGAATCATCCATTTTGGACTCAAAATATTCACCCTATTTAACATAGCTCATTTACTCTTTAGCATGTCTCAAAGTTGATTATTTCTAATTGTTGGAATTGTGGCCTCTTCAATAACATTTGTAGGAGTAAAGATGTAAAGATGTTAAAAATAGGAAAAATTATTCATTTGATCCTTGTAATTTTAACTTAATTGTAATTTAATCCATGAACTTGAACTCATGATAACTCAATTCTTGAAGTTTTGACTTAACTATAACACAATTATTAAACTTTGACTCTTACAACTCAATCCTTATATTTTTAATCATTTAAATATTAGTTTCTATATTTTAAAAAATAAAATTATAAAGATTAGAATTATGTTAAAATTTATATTTTTAATCTTTATAATTTTATTTTTTAAAATATAGGGACTGATATTTAAATAGTTGATGTTATAGGGACTGAATTGTAAGAGGTAGAATTTAGTAACTGAGTTACGATTGAGTTAATATTATAAGGTCTCAATTACAATGAATCAAAATTTAGGAATTAAATTACAATAATGTCAAAATTATAGGAATTAAATGATTAATTTTTCTTTAAAAATGTCTTAAACATCCCTCTCTAATTCACAAATCAGGAAGACAAGCTTGTTTGGAAAGGACCTAAGGATGTAGAACATACAACAAATAAGGCGAGTTTCAGGAAACCATTATTGGATCAATCCTCATTTAAAATTCGTAACAATCTCTCCTCGTAGAGAGACAAATTACTTATGAAACCCGTGCTCTGTATGTGTAAACTATTCCGTGAAGCAAATTCCAATCGGGGAAGTGCTCCAAAGTTATCATCTCAACTCTGCTCAAATTTGTCCCTTTGGATGTGTAAAAGTTGAAATTGTTGAACATGTTTTTGTGCAGTGTCACCTTACAAAAGTGATAATCATAGTTTTTTATATATTTTATCCTACCTTATGTATAATTTTGAGCTAATTTGAATTTATTAAATATTATTTGGATTATTAGCCAATTTTAAATAAAAATATATTTTTGAATTAATTATAGGAATTTTGTGCTTAATTTGTGAATATTTTATTTTTCATATTTTTAACATGATTCAATTTTTTCAATTTTTAATTGAGTTTAATTTAAATTATTATACAATCTTCAAGTTTTTGGCCATTTATGGAAAAATTGTAATTGTGGGAAAAATTAATTTTAAAATATTTTATGAGAGATAAAATTTATTTTGAACATAATTTATATTAATTGGTTCATTTTGAACATGATTGTGGGACTTTTTGGCCTTGTGAGTTTTATGTCTTTCTATTTGACCCTCTGGTTTTGAACATAGTGGACTTATTTCCTGACCTTTGTGCACTTTTTCTGACCTCTTCAACATAATGATGATGATGATGATGATGATGATGATGACTTCGTTTGATTAGGAAAATGATCAAATCAGATTTAGTGGAAAAAGAAATTGTTCATTCATCAACGAAAGCCTCTCAATGTTCCTAATTTTATTCAATGGACATTAATATGATAATCGGAGTATTTAGATTCGGAAAGTTAAAATTGGAGTATTTTAGTATTGGACATTTCAGCTTTGCTTTGTCACTTTACTCAGTCCAAGACCTTTACACTTTAGATGATTTTATTTACTTTTACTTTTTTTTTTGCCATGAATTACAAACTTTCATAATGTACTTTAATATTTTCATTGTAAATATAATCCTTGTTTTATCATAGAAAAAAGACTAAAATTTTTATCTATAATTGACTTAAAAAGTAAAAACCCTAAGTTGTTTTAACATATATTCCCGGCAGTGGAACCTTCTTGTCTAACTAAAGTTCAATGACGCACCTACTTTCATTATGTCTTTAATTTCTACTTTTCGATTTGACCAGCTCACCCACCTTCTCCACCTAGATATTTAAAGGCTATTAAACTTACATCCATATTATTTAACCTAGATTTTTACACCCAGCCAAATGACATTTTCCTCCATCAAAATTAGGTCCTCAAATAGAGATTCATTATCATATGATAATTAATCATTTTTTGTAGAATTTTATTTGAAAATATTTTTTAGTTCATGTCAGTGAAAAATGATCAATTTCTACTTAAATATCAACTAAGCGGCCAAGGTTTGAAAGGGTTTGACAGATTGGTTATTGTTGCACCTATTAAAATAAAGTTATAGACATTTTTGTCCCTTTTCTCACTTTAAATTATTGAATGTCCCAGACAAACAACTTGATCAGTATTTTTGCCCTTTTTTAGCTCACATCAGTGAAAAAAATGATCAACGTCTGTTTAGATATTAGTTAAACAGTCAACATTTGAGAGATTTAATGAATTGATTACTCTTGCACTAACTTAATTAACGTTATAGTATTTTTATCTTTTTTTTTTATTTTAAGCAATTAGATACTCTTGAATTAAGATTTCATGAATATTTTTGCTCATTTGAGCAGGCTCTCTCTCTCTCTCTCTATATATATATATATAAATGTCTTCTGTCTTCATTTCCTTAATGACCTGCACCTTCTCCACCTAGATAATTGAAAGGCTATTATACTTACATCCATATTATTTAAACTGATTTTACACCTGTACCATGCATGGTAACAACAAGAAATTAATATTATAATTAGAGCTATGAATTAGGCTAGCCCTTTTAAGTCCTAAAATAATTAAGATCGGGCTGCTATTTTGGAGCAAAAAAATGGTAATTTGAGCTTAAAAAAGGTAAAAATAAAAATGTTAGTCCTTTTAAACCCTTTTATTATTTTTCAAAAATTATGATATAAAAAAATAGAAGTTAATATAAAACTAAAAGAAATAAATATCTTAAACTCATTCTTTCCTCCCTCATTCATTCATTAAGATGTGGCAGATAATGTTAGCTAAGTCTAATTTTTATCGTTGTTAATTTTAATATTACTATATGATATTAGACCTAATGTTTAAGTTTTTTATATTTGTTGTGGTGTGAATTGATTTAAATTTATTTTCTTAAACTTAATGTTATGTGTAATAACTTTTTTAAAATTATAAATATATTTTTTTAGAATTTTAAATTGAAACAAAGCAAAAAAAAAAAAAATAGGGCCAAGCTTTGAAAAAGGGATCCCTAAAATATAATCGGGCTTATTAGTGCTAGCTCGTTTAGACCCTGACTCTTCAAGTGCTAGTCATAATCAACAACTCCAATTTCAATGAATTTAATTTTTTGATTATTTTTTTAAAATTAAAATTTTGAAAAGGTCAATGGACTGTATGCCTTCTTTTTTGTTTTTTGTTTTTTTACAACTAATGTAAATTATATTTTTAATTTTATCATGGGTTCCGCACATGCTAGTTTAATTACCGGTTCAAAACTTTTCAACTATTTTTAATATGGATTTTCAGCCTATGTTGTTTAATGGGAGTTATATATGCAGGGGGAGGGTCAGAAAATTTTAGTTTGGAGAAAAAGTATATATAATAATTAAAAAAATTAAATTTATATATAACTAAACGTGCTTTAAGAAAGTTATAAAACTAAAGTGTTACTTGATGCAAAAAAAAAATATTATTTTAAAAAAACTCTACATATTAAATGAGTGTTACCTTTCATTAAAAGCTATATAAATAACCCTCATAAAATATTAATTATTAAATTATGCTAATTGATGGACTCACATAAAGTTATGAATTTTAAATCAATAGTTTTACTACGTATTCATCTGAATATATTTATAAGTCACTTTCAACATGTTTAATCAAAACAAAAAAAATTAAAACTCTTTAATTCTATCTAAAAATTTAATAATTTCTCACTTTTTTTATTAAATATGTATATTTTAATAACATATTTTCTCTTTTCAACATTCAATGAACAATAAATAAAAAAATTTGTTATGAAAATTTAATGAGATGATTTATAAATAGAATCAAAGAAGTAAAAAATATCATTTTAAGCTTCATTGTTTATAAATTATCTTCTTTTTAACCATTACTTATTTCTTGCATTGACGTCTAACTATTGAAATTTATTATTTTTGTCTTTGAGTGCACAAGACATAAAATTATTGTTACCTTAGCTTGAGTTTTGAAAATTCAATACATCTCAAGGTCGTTATATCCTGAAAAAAAAAAATGTTTTCAACCAATTTGCCCCCGGACATTGGAATAAGGGACAAATTGAAGCTAAAGAAAAATGCTGCTTTCGTGCTTAAGATATTATGCACAACTTTCCTCTTCATTTTTATTTTTCATGCTTCAAGGAGTAATTTATGACAACAAAAATATTGACAATAAGATGGTGCCAAATATTTTTTTTTAAGACCGCAAAAAAAAATAAAAGGGACAAGACACACATGGAAATGGCTGGAAAAAAGTGAAAACAACACCATATGTGAGGATCATGTGGCATAAGGCCATGCTTCGGGCCCACATGGATGTCAAGGAAATGATTTATTGTCGAATTAGAGTGAAAATCCCAAGGGATAGAGATTATAATAAAGAGTTTTAGTTCTTTTATAGTACAAAAAATAAATTTAACAGTAAATGTATGAACAGTAAATGGTGAATTCTTTTCAATTAAATTGTTGGATACATAATTGTTTAAATTTAAACTTGTAATAAGTAACGAAAGCTCATACTATTCATACTAACATTAATTGGTAATAGTTTAGATTTTATTTTACTGTGTTTTTATAACTTTAATATGAAAATAATACAAAGTAAAAAGATATCATATAATCAAGTTTTAAAATAATGTTTCACCCTGGAAAAATAAAAATTCAAAATTCAAAATCTAGGCTGTTTAAATTAAAAATAAGGAACTATAGAGTACTACATAAAAATGGGTGCTTCCCCCCTTTTCATTACTGTTGTTAATTAAAAATTTAAAATTTATTAAAAATATGATTATAGAGTTATAATACCGAGTTCAAGTAATAAAGGTGATCTAGCCAAAAAAAAAAAAAAAACAACAAAGTAATGAAGCTGAAAGATGAGTTAATAAAGAAAAGAAGAAAGTGATTGGTTTCCGGCTCAAACATTTCTAAGGTATCAATAAACAATTGTAGCAAAATTTAACCATAGTCATGAATCATAGATTTTATATATATATATATATATATGTATGTATGTATGTATGTATGTATGTATGTATGTATGTATGTCTGTATGTATATATTACGATTTTAAAAAGCATCTACATATTTATGTTTCAATTTCAAATAAAATTTCAAAATTATAAAATTGGAAAAAAATTATATTCCCTACAAAGAAGTATAAGACAATTTTTAATGAGATTAAATGTTTAAAAATATAAGATATTTTTAATTTTTCAATACTCTCTTAATATCATAATACTCCTAAAAGAAATGTCTTGGTAGTTAATTCATACTTCTTAAAAGATGTTAGTTGAAATTTTATTTTTTAAAAAAATTTACATTTTTTAATTATACATTTATTTAATATCTTATATAAATAACTTAATAATAATAATAATAATAATAATAATTAAAATTTTAATATATTATTTAAAAAATAATAAATACATTAGAATTATAGTTAAAAAATAATAATAAAAGTTACCGAATATTTTAGAATAAAACTTCTAAAATTACACTACTTTGTGGGCGAGGAGGTAATTAATGAGTTATAAAAGGGAGAGTATAAATAACTCCATCACTTCGGATTGAGCATGGCCCACTTTCTGCCTTTCTGGCGTTTCTCGGTTCTTCCGCGTAATATTTGGCTTCTTTTATTTATTTATTTATTGATTTTTTATTATAATTTTGTTTTTCTTCCACTTTTCTTTTCTCCGCCGAGTGGTGCTTAGTGCTCACTCTTGCCTGTTGCCACTCTCATCTGCGGAGCGCCGTGTCGTCGACCAGGGCAATGATACTCCTCCTTCGCCTTTCTTCAGGTTCTCTCTTGGTCTCTCGCTTTTCAAAGCCATTTCCAGTCAAAACGTTGTTGATTAGACACTTTCTGTTGGTATTATCTTGAATGTGGAAAATGTCTTCAAGGGACAGTAATACCTGCTAACATCGGAAGGGAGTGCATATTGAAACTAACCGTTTTTTCGTAGTTCGAATTCTAAGTGCTGTTGAAGTTTTGAGAAAGTATGGCCAAAGCACGGTTAGATTAGGACAAAATTGAGGCTTAATAGATTGAGGATGGGAGGAATTGCTGGTAATAAGCGAAGGAATAAGGAAACTAGGAGAGTCCGATGCTTGTTTGTCTGACTTTGGGGAGATTTTGTGGGGTATTGGTTTTATTGTGTTTTCTTATTTCATTATGGAGTCCTTTTCTTCCGGAACTAAGCCTTCAATGTTACGGACTAGACTTATATGCTTATGTCAATGCTAGCTGGTGAGGGACGTCAGCCTGGAGAACCAATTCAGATCATGGAGTGACTGATACTTTGTGTATGTGTGTGTTTGCCTGACCGTTTTAAACTTTTGTTTTGGTTTTTAGCCATTAAATGTTTTCTGGTTCGGATATGTTTTGGAATTGTAAAATCCAATGATTTATAATGTTATCCTGAGCTTTCTTTTGTGGTATCAAAGTAGTTAGCTTCTGAATGAACCCAAATGGCAATAAATTTGGTGAAAAACTAAATTTAAAAAATTATGAAATAGAATGTTACTGATAAGCATATTTCCTTATTATATATATTTTTAACAACATGACAAGTGCATAGTTTAATCAGCGAATCATACAATTGCTGTAAAAATCATACACTTGTTGTGTTATTCAGATAACAGCATATTTTCATCTTTTGATTAGAGAACCTGACAATCAGGGTATAAGGAAATGCAGCTAAGTTTTTATCCTTAAGTAAAACCCTCGGGAAAAAGAAAAATTATGTTTTATAACTGTGTGCTGGTGAAGTTCCTTGTATTTGATCCTTATATGCTTCAGTTTCTTTTTATTTGACAGCTGACACCACACATAATGGTTATTCCCTCCAGTCTTTAACACAAGTTACCTTTTAGAAATTTTGCTTGGTCCTTAATACAAGACACTTATAAAATTTAGTGAATCATTTATGAATTATTTCCAAAAATGCCTAAATATCTAATCGGTTCATTTGGGGTGGCATCTTTGACTGTAAGCTTCAAAGGTATAAGTTAATAGTTTTTATTAGGAGTAATTTGAGAGTGATAGTAATTTTTCGAGAAATCAACACTCTTAACTAGTTTAAATTTCTCAACTGCGTGATTCAGTTAAAAGTTTCTCATAAATAGGACTAGAGGGAGTATATGTTATCTACATTAGTATGATCTATAGCTATATGTCTTATCAATTACTTGACTATTTGATAGCTCCATGAAATTCTTAACTTTTTTGGGCTAAGGCTTCTTGTTGTTTTGGGCATGATTACCTTGTAATGGCTGATATGTTAAGTAGCTACAGTTGCATTTGACTTCATTTTCAAATCACATGGCTTTGGTTTGATTAAATTTTTCAGTGATTATCAAGGATCTGCTAACTCATGAACAAGTTCGGGAAGTTGGAATTTTCATTTAATGTAAGTAGGTAAGCTTTCTTATTGGAAATTTAGACATTATACTTTAAATTATACCAATTTCTAGACCGACAGTAACTTTATGTATGCATTGGTACCCTATATATTTAGCTTTTAGTTGTATATATGGTGATTATGCCTGATTTTTAATTCAATAAACAATTTGTGGCTGTATGCTAGTATTGTTTTTTCAAAATTGAATTTAATAAAATTACTGATTCTGTTTTAATTTTAAATTCAATTTCCTTTAGCAGCAAAAGCTTCTCAATTGCACAGTGTTCGTCTTATTTGCTAGTGTAATGTTGGGGTTATTTGCCTTTTCCATTTATAAGGTTCCTTCCTTCACCCAGCCGAATATCTGTTAGCGTATTGCATATTAGTCTGTTATGGATGTAGCAACTCAGCAAAAAGTTTTAATTTTTGCTTTCTTTCTTTCTTTCTTTTTTTATTTTGGGATATTAAACATTTTACTTCATTCTTTTAGCTTCTAAGATGAAGTCACAAGGCAATGGGATGTCTAGAGTTCAAAGGACAAATTATTCTCAAGGGGAAAGGCCTAATTGGTTTCTTATTAGTGTTGGTGCTTTGTTGAGTACCTTATCAATTCGTCTTGGTTTCAAGTGGAAGCAGTCACTCAACTCAAAAAGGGCTGATAATTCTCCAAAATTTCAGAAAGGTTCAGAAATTCAATGGTGTAGATGTCTTCTTTGTACGTAGCAAGATTCTAACATCATTTGTTTTCATCTTCAGGAAATGCAAAACCTTTTAACACAAGAAATTCTGGAGATTGCTGTTGTCAGTCTGATGGATATTTTCTAAAACAAGATAGTCATGGTTGCTTCAGTTGCATTTCAGGTTTAAATTTGTTCCTTTGATCATATTTGGTTCCTGATAGTTAATGACCAGCTGTTGTAGCATGTTTATAGCTGACTTTTCTTGTGCTTCTCTTTCCCCTATTGAAAACTTGTATATTATTTAGTAGCAGAGTTGTTTTCGAATATCTTGGGTCATAAATTGTTTTGTTGCAGACTAATACATTATTAGAATTTGTCTTTAAGTAAAACCTATGGGAGAGATTCGTTTTTAGAATCGAATGTTCCTATGCTAAATAACATTCCTGGAAATGCAATATCCAGGAACATTACATGTCCATGTTTGGTTCATGACAAATATATGTGGAATATTTGTTATATCTATGTGCTTCAGAGGTCATGATATCTTTCCAATGAGGATCTACGACAAAAAAACTGTTGCTCATTTTTGAAGCAAACCTGGTGACACAAATGGAGACCTCTTGATTAGGTTCTAATCATGTAATTTTCAATTATGTGAAATACGTATATTTCTTGGTGTGGGTTGAAATACTCCATCTGTAAATCATCACTCAGGAAAATAAGACATCGGTGCCTAATGATTGTAGTTTGTAAATATGATTTGCAGACTCAGGGCAACCTAATTCTTTATACGTCTTTTACCCTTGACTAACATTCTTTTAGATAGGACAGCTTCCACCCATAAACATGTAATCAGGTTGATCTGTTAGGAGTTGCATCATACATAACTTGTGCGTTTGATTTCTTAAATAGGAAATGGACGTCCAGTGGAGCTCAAGGGCCAGATGTTGAGTGAATCTGATGGGATACTTCCTTTGGTGGCTGTGTCTAATGCTGAATTTAGCAAGGATAATGATGTTATTTGGTCATCATCTCTTGATGGTCTTGAATTGCCTTCAAGGCCATTCCACCATTCAAACTGCTCAGACTCGCCGTGTGTGTCAGAATCAGGCTCCGACTTCTATAATAAGCGCGAAGTCATACATAAGCTGCGGCAACAATTGAAGAGGAGGGATGATATGATTCTAGAGATGCAAGATCAGTTGGCTGAATTGCAAAGCTCGCTTGATGCTCAACAGCAACTTTCTTCTCATTTACAATCAAAGCTTGAGGCCGTAAATAGGGAATTGTTCGACTCAGAGAGAGAGATCCGAAGGCTGAGAAAAGCTATTGCAGATCACTGTGTTGGACACGTTTCCATATCCTTGTACGGAAACGGTGATACGAAAGAGCATCCGAATTGGGAGAGCCCTGAGAAAGCAATGGATGTTGATAATGAGAAAAGAGCTGAGATGCTAAAAAAGCAAGTGGAAGAGTTGAAAGAGGTAATTCAAGGAAAAGAGTACTTGGTTCAGAGTTACAAGGAGCAGAAAAAGGAACTCTCTTTGAAGATCATGGAATTGCAGCAGAGATTGGATTCTCAGCTGCCACATATATTGTAGGGAAACTGTCAGTGAATCCTTTGCTTTTTATATTTTAGCCTCTTTTAGGTTACAAATTGTCGTGGAGGCTCATCTTTCTCATCTTCTAGTTTCTCAATGTGAATACTAATTAGCTTAGGCTTTGATTGTTGGGTTGTGTATTCCTTTTTGCTGGTTCTACTTTTATTGGATGTTTCACAAGGTATATGTAGTGCAGAGAATTGTCTCTCTTTTTCTCTTTTCCTTCTGAGGTTTTAGATGGTTTAAATCAAATTTTAATGGATTGTTTTTAATATGTTAATTGGGACGTGAAAATTAAAAAAAATGATAAATTTAGACGGGTGAAACTTAAAGTAAGTAATTATCTAGTGACAAAATATGAGAGGAATAAAGAGAAGCCGGATTTGAAGTTGCGTATTTCATTTGTGCTATCCCATCTTGAGAATGCAAAGCAGTCCAGGGTTACTGTAGCCAAGTCGTTAAAATTATAATTAATAATAACAATAATTAATGTTCTAGAAAATACTAATTCAGTCACTAGTGGTATTTTAAACACTAAATTTGATGGAATTAACATTTGCAGAACTAAAGGTTGCACACCGTACTAACTGAAGTTGGGGGGGTCGAAATCAACTATGCTAATGTAATTCATCTTTTAATATTCTTTGATTAAAAAAAAAGTCAATCTGACATCAAAACTTGTTTGGATAATATGATTAAAAAGATAAAAAGTCATTTTTTTTTAAAGTATTTACTTAAAGATACTTGATATCAAAAACTTTTTTATATCATTTTCTATTTACATTTTAAAAAATCTAACCGCGCATGTCTTACTATCAATGCGACAAACGTTCATTTAAGTTAATAGATCTCAGGTGGACATACACATGGCATTTAAAATTGAAAAGATTAAGGATTACTTTTATTTTTAAAGTATTCAGCACACTTGATATCTTGAATTTGATTTTGAATTATTTTTTCTTTTATATATTTAAAATTCCATCCATTTTTGCCTTGCCATTAACTGCCCATTAAATAATTTTTTGACTAAAAATATACACTTGGCAGCCCGTCCACGTAAGCAAATAACTCAGTTTTTTTTTTAAATTATTCTCTCTCCCCCTAAACAAATCCTTCACCTCCTCCGCTTCCTTCGAGTTTGATCCCTTTGTCACCTTCACAAAGCTGCCACTGCCATTGCCAGGCTACCATGGACTTCTGTAACCTTCTTGACATAGCTTCTCAGATCTCCTTCAATAGCAGCGGGATAACAAGGGAGAAGGTCACGATTCTTCGAAGAGGCGATTCGCTTGATTCGAAAATCATGTTTGACATGTGGGATTGATGAAAGAAGGTAACGAGTGATCGATCGAAGGATGTGAGTGTGGAGATTAGGAGAAGAAGAAACGAAGACAATGGCGGTGGCAGCTTTATGAAGGAGACAAAGGGATCGAAGGGAGCGAAGGCGGTGTAGTATCTGTTTTGGGTAGTACTGGGGTAAACAGGTTGCGGGACAGCCGCGGGTTAGCCCGTGCAGGCTGGCAGTTTTGCAAGCTGAGTTGGGACAACCCCTCAAATAAAACGGATTAAAAAATTTAATACAACTCATTTTTTAGCGGGCTAATCAACCCGCGGGTTAGCCCACAAAAAATTATCAAAATTTTTTAATAATTTAAATTTTATACAATATAAATATATATATTTATTTCATATTTTAAAAAAAATTAAAAATTAAAAAACTTGTAAATAAGTAAAAAAAATATAGAATACAACCAAACAAATTCATTTTGCTAGATTTTCATTATTAATTATTTTCTCACCTAGGTGTGCTATCTTTGTCACTAATAAAGAAAATTTGAATATAAACTCATATTATTTTTCTTAATGAATTCATATTTATAATTTCAATCAATAGAATTTATGAGACTAATAAATAATATATATTCAAAATATTTTTATAAAAATTAATAAATCATCTTCATAAATTATAACAAAAATTTTATTTGCAAATTGTAAAAAGGATTTACACTATATTTCAAATGTAAAGAACATATTTGAAAGTTATAAATTATATATTTAAGAGATATTATCATTATTGTAGATTTATAAAAAGATATAATGTAATTAAAAAATAAAAATTATTTTTTAAAAAATATTGCTAGCTCTCGGACCAGCCCGTTTAGCACTCGGGCTAGCTCGTTTTAACCAGCTATTTTTGCGGGTTGGGCTAACCTAGCCCGTTTTAAAAAACGAGCCAATTTCTTCAATCTAACCCGTCAAATTGTGTGGGTTAAACGGGCTAACCCATGGGCTCAACCTGTTTTCTCGACTCTAGTTTTGGGGATAGAGTTTTTTTTTTTAAAAAGAAAAATATGAGTCAGTTGCTGAGGTGGATGAACTGAGTGACACGCATGCTGCTGTAGTCAAATTCTTTAACTAATGAGTTAAAAAGAGAAAGAATAGCAAAGAGGTCTTAAGATTATCAATTAATTTAAATTAAGTGTCAAGTATTAAATTTTAAAAATTTACAAATTTGATTCTCAATTTTATAATTTTGATGTGATAAATTTATAACTTGTGTTTCAAATTTTAATGAGAAAAATAAATTTATTTATTTTTTCAACTATGTTAAAATTTTAGAAACAAGTTGTAAATTCATCACAACATAATACAAAATTATAAATTCTTGAAGTTTGACAGTTGAAATCCTGTTTGACTTAATTGATTCACTTGGGACTTATCTGTCATTCTCCCTTAAAAAGAAGGTAGAAATTCCAAAATCAAGTTTAAGATAATAAATGTCCTTGAACAAATATTTTGAGTTCAAAAAGGACTAAATGTGAGCACAAATGGCATTCTGAGGCAATCAAGTGGTAGTACATGTGGCAACCAAGTCCTCCATGATATAGCATGTCATCTAATCACCCAAAGTAATGTCATTCAAGTGGAGGAAAGATCAAAAGATCACGTAAAGATATTCATCTTTAAGAGGTTAAAATGTATATTGAGAGTTTAAATTACTATGTTGACCTAATATATAAGTACATACTCCTTTGAGATAATTGAGCCATAATTTTGCACATTTCAGCCCAAATGCATGTTCAAATGTGCCACAGGAATTTTGAATTCATGAGAATAGTACATAGAAGAAGAGTCTTAATGGGCTTAAATCTTAATGAAGACTTACATTGACTTACGAAAGACATTATTGAAGACTAATTCAATTAGAGTCCATTTATATTAATTGTTGGGCTTCAGTTGTTCTAATTTTTAGTGTATTTTTGCACTTATATTTCATCTTCTTTTTTTTTTAAGTTTTTGCTCACCGGCATCTATAGCCTGTTCTGTTTTTTTTTTTTTTGCTTAAATTATCCATTAGGAAATTTATAACCAACATTACCTTTTCAGGTTGTATCCTTTTATCATATTCTTTTATTATATTCTTCATTATTTATCATATTCATATTTCTCATTTGCTTCTCCTTTCTATCAAATATCATTCATTCATTCTTCCGTCTATTCATATCTTTTCCATCCATCGTCTTTTATTAAAAAAAAAAAATCAAATTCATTCGATTTGCTACTGATTTTTGGATCTCTTCTCTTTACAAGTTTATATGAAATAAAAGGCAATGTGCTTTAAAGAGATGAGTGAGCAATGTTACCAAAAAAAAATGGTGCAAAAAAGGTGCACACAATTTCAAAAAAAAAAAGTTGAAATAAAGATGTAAAAAAAAAAAAAAGACACAAAAACGTGAAAAAAAGTTGAAAAAGAATGGAGGTTCAATCTGACAGGGGCCATTATTGGTATAGCATATTAGATTTGGTAAAATCTTATCTATACACTCTAATCTTGAAAGTTTCAAATTTGTTTTATCTCGTGATTTTCACAAATCTAATTCTCTTTAACCTTATCTGAGTCTTTGCACACAAATTCGTATTTTTTTAAGTATCTCTCTATCTACCTTATATTATCTCATTCCACCTTATCTCATCTTGCTGTGTCTTATCTCATTTTTTATATTTTCTTTGTAACTTAATGTTAGTTTCACCATAATTATTATCTCACAATCATTTCTCATTTAAAACTTTACAAAATTAAATTTGAGTGAAGAATTGTTAACTACACATTAAAAGAGTGATAAATACATATGACATTATATTGAGTGAAACACGTGAACAAATGTGCAAGTTCCATTTTTCTTTTACTGTTTAGCTACACTAATCTTATATGACTCTTAGGGGGATACTCTTCCCAAGAACCTATAGATTTGATCATTATTATGTTGAGAGTATCCATAAAAAGATTACTCAACTTGAAAGAGAACTTTTTTTTTGGACCAACATCTTGAAAGATAACTTAGAAAAATAAAAGTCACACATCTCTTCAAGTTAGTGAACTTAGAGAACTAAAAATCGTATCTCAGTAGCCTATAATGGGTTTTTAGGCTCAAGTTATCCATTAGGTTTTCAAATTAGAGTTTTTAAAGAGCCTTAATATGATTAACATTCCTAGTTAAAGTTGAAGTCTTTTCTTATAAATACCTCATTTTGTACCTATTGAATTCGAAGAAGACTTGAATTGATTAATATAGTTTTGAATTTTATTCAAACTTGTGAGGTGATTTTTTATTAGTGTTGGTCACTATGAGAAAACATATCATGAAATTTCAAATCATGAACTAACGTTCAATTACGCCTATCAATGACCCTTAACCCTTTAAATTTCTGACTAGGCAACCATGCGTGATGCGATCCATCAAACCATTTCAAGAAACGAAGTCAAACAGGAAACTATTTCCAATGCTTCAAAAAGCCCTTTCCAGATTCCAAGTGGTCCAATCACGAGCAAGAACTAAAAGAATTAAGGAAGCTGTGAATGAGCTTGTGCAAGAACCAAACCAATAATTGTTCCACAACATCACACTACCACAAAAACATTTTACGTATCATTCAGCGAGAAATCAAAAGAGAAATGAAGTTCATGGCCAGAATGCTGATTTTAATTCATAAACTGACTCACTTGGAAAATGAATTATAGAACATTCATGTTTCCACATTTTTTATTTTTTTAATGTAAATGTTTTTAAAAAATTAATACAGCTTGGAAGGACGCCCAAAGCCAAGCCTATTTTTATAAGATCTAACATGATTGGGTTTAGAAGCCTGGTTATACTAAAAAATTTTGATTTTCCAAACCTGAACTCTTATAAAAAGGGTAGAGGATATATGCAAGCATGAAAACAATGACTTGTACATCCAGGGCATCCATTTACATTATTATATCAACAAAACATCCAATTGGAATATGGTACAAAATGCAGTCTAAACTCATTATAGTGTTTAGGTTCATTGTACCAATGTTCAACATTTATACAACACTAGGATAAAATTATTTTTTCCGCTAAGACATTGTGAGAGGGATTATACACACCTCCTAATTGATTAACTTAGTTCTCCATAGCTTATCACATTCTATTTCCCAACAAAACGTGCTCAAGTATTGACAAGGATCAGATATTCCGGCACATAAAGTGGAATGCTTAACCTCAAAAGACTTCTCGTTCAGACTTAACCAAGAAGCTTCTAGCCTCATCATCAGTAACTTCGCTGTACAGTAGTACCAAATACCAAATAAGACATCAATGATTAGCTGCTAGACCAAATGAAAACATCTGTTAACAAAAACCATGAAACCAAAGAAAGAGATCATGCAGAAACCTGTCTACAGCTTCTGCTTTGGAGATCAAGGTGAGTCCTGCAGAAGCCAGATAGTCACAGAAACTCCTGAGATCTTTCTCCCGACAGAAATTGCAAAGATGCCGGAGAAATTTGTTGAACAGTTCAGGTTCCTAAACAATAAAAGTTTGTGAACTAAAAAACTGCACTGAATCTACAATGAAACAACCAATAAAAGCCCCAACAAATTAATCAAAGCAATTCAAGGTAGAGACAATATTTGAAGGTCAGATCAAGCCTTCGCTCAGCCATTTCATGTTTCAACCGCGAAGCAGATAGGAGATGGATTACCTGCACAAGGACGCAGCCCTTGCGAAGACTTATTAAATATTCCAGTGCTTTAGCATAGTTATCACCTTCATGGGAATCCTCTACCAGATCAAATATTTTATTACTCATACCCTTAATTGCTTTATCGACCCAATCTGGACCATCTCTACGAGATAACATGGCTTCAAAATCTTTGACTGGAGTAATATCTCCAATTTTCTCAACTTTAACATTAGAAGCAGGTTCAATGGCATTGACAGGATGAGCAGTAATCTCTGTTTTATCATCTTCACTATAATGAGATCCTTTTTCCTGAAGTAATTTTCTTGATTTTTTTCGCTGAAGAGTAGCTAAAATGTTAAAAATTGTCATATTTGTAATGAGGGAAACTAGAAAGCCGATTTTATATTCCTACCTTGGGATTTTCCTTGAGCTCAAAAGACGTACGAAATGAATCTATCAGAGATTTGTTTTCCAGTAACAGGTCTGCATCAGGTACTGTTATTTTCTTGAGATTGTCATCAAGAGGGGGTACAGCAGCATCTGGATGCCTTGATTTCAGATCAAAGTGATGATACAAGCGCTGCAAAAAATATACAATAACTTTGTTGTGAGAGTGTTGTTAAAGGTGCTCGCCTCAGCGCCTAAGGCGCAAAAGCGAGGCGTTAAACAGGGTCATCGCCTCTCATAAAAGAGAGGCGATGGGGTTAGTTAGGCGCACGCCTGAGAGCGCCTTGTGCACCTTGCACAAGCAAAAAGTGCTCGCCTGAGGGTGCCTAATTGAAGTAGGTTGAAGAATAGGGGAACAAAAGGTGAGCAGATGATGATCGACCACTAGGCACTGAAGAAGAGATGAAGACGACCAACTGGGACTGGGTATTGAAGAAGTGAAGAAGACGACTGACTGGGTTTGGTTATTGAAGAGAAGATAACGACCGATTGGAATTGATGAGGACGATGCTGACAGCATATGGAAGAAGAGAAGAGAAGATAAGGACAGCACCGACTGCTTCACTTGACTTCTATGGAGTAACATATTGTAGAAGACAATGGGTTTGCTCATATTTTAATACATAACCCATTAAAATATGATAAAAAATATGAAAAGTTAAATGATATAAAAACAAATATGAAATATTTAATTTTAAAATAAGAGAAGACAATTACATAATAGAAAAGATTTAAACTTATTGCAAGAAATACTCTTTGATTGAAATTTTAAACATGATAGTGAAATTATTATGAGCCTTGGAAAATTTTCAAGAAAATTTAATCCCAACTTATACTGATTAGGTTATAAAAGAGAACTATTATAATCCATTAGACGTTTAGAATGGAGCAGCAACACCTGGAGGCTATAACACATGGTAGCGCCTCGCTTCATTCGAGCACACTGTCACGAGGCTAGTCTTTCAACCCGTGCGGCACTCAGACAACCTTCACTGGAAGTTGCTAAGTAAGTCTAACTCGTATGAAAGGAGGATGCTTGGCTAAGTAGAGGAAAGGGAAAGCTTGAAGGCAAAGGAGAGTAGAGAGAGTTTGGAGAATGTGAGAGTTCTATAGCTTTGAGAACTCAAGGATGATTTACAAATGAGGAGGGGTGAGGTATTTATAGGCCTCCCCTTGGATCTAGAATGTTCCCACCTCCTTAATGGACGGTGGAGATTAAATCTATCCTACGGCTACAATTGATTCTCGAGAATTCTCTTAACAAATATCTAGATATTTAAATGGAAGAATCTAGAGACAATATTAAAATATTGAGGCTAGAATTGTGTAGGCTTCTCTAGAATGTTCTTGCATTCTCTAGCACTCTTAAGGTTAGCTGGGAGCCTTCTGGAGGGTTCTGGAGCATTCCGGACCTCTTTAACCTTGTGAAAAATGACAAAATGTGACATTCTCCCCCACTTGATTTCGCGACGCCCTCGTCGCGCCTTCCTCCTTGTAGCGTTGGATTTGGTCAGTGAACTGCCAGAGGAGGTCTTCACGTTCCCAACTAGCTTTAAAGTCTGGTTGATCCTTCCACTTGATTAAGTACTTAGTGTAGTTGGGAACTCCTCTCTTCCTGATCACCCTGTCTGCAAGGATCTCTTCTATCTCCTTGTCGTACTCGGTGACGACTGCTGTCGGTGCTCTCTTAGAGATACCTCGAGATGGATCTTCTTCATCTCTATAGTGTTTCTTCAAGAGACTAACATGGATGACAGGATGAATCTTAAGCTTGGGAGGGAGTTGTACTTGGTACGCAACCTTTCCCACACGTTTGATGATAGGGAAAGGGCCTTCATATCTCCTGACCAAGCCTTTGTGGACTTTGCGTAGTGACTTGAATTGATTCGGTAATAACTTAACCATGACCAAGTCACCTACTTGAAACTCAATGGGGCGTCGCTTCTTATCCGCCCACTTCTTCATTTTACGGGAGGCTTTATCCAGGCATGCATGAGTAATGTCGGCTTCTTCTTGCCATTCCTTAGTAAACTTATAAGCAGCTGGATTGTCTCCCTTGTATGGTGTGGCAAGTGCGTTGGGGGTTTGAGGTTGTTGTCCGGTAACTATCTCAAAAGGGCTCTTACCTGTCGACTCGCTTCGCTGCAAGTTGTAAGAGAATTGGGCCACATCGAGCAACTTAGCCCAATCTCGTTGATGAGCGCTCACATAGTGCCGAAGGTAGAGCTCTAACAAAGCGTTGATTCGCTCTGTTTGTCCATCGCTCTGAGGATGAAAGCTTGTTGAGAAGTTCAAGTCTGTCCCCAAGAGCTTGAAAAGTTCTCTCCAAAATTTCCCGGTGAATCGGGGGTCTCGATCACTGACGATGTTGCGAGGGATCCCCCATAGCTTCACGACATGCTTGAAAAATAAGCGTGCCGCTTCATCAACTTTACAATTTGCTGGGGCTGGTATAAAGGTGGCATATTTGCTGAATCTATCAACCACCACCATGATACTCCCACATCCTTCAGACTTAGGGAGAGCAACTATGAAGTCCATGGAGACACTCTCCCATGGTCTCTCAGCCACCGGCAAAGGTTCGAGTAGACCAGCAGGATGTTGTTGTTCAACCTTATCTTGCTGGCACACTAAGCAAGTTCTCACATATGCTTCGACATCGTCTTGCATATGTGGCCAATAGAAATGATTTTGCACGAGAGCAAGTGTTCTGGTCATACCTGGATGTCCGGCCCACATGGAATCATGGCACTCTTTTAGGATATCCCTTCGAAGATTGCCCCATTTCGGCACATAGACTCAGTTTCCAATGGTGTAGAGTATTCCATCATTCACCCAAAATCTTCGAGTCTTGCCTTCGGTAGCAAGCTTTACTAAGTCGCTTGCGGATGAGTCCTGAGACATACCTTCCTTAATTCGTTCAAGGAAGTCATTCTGGGGCATGCTTGCTGAGAGAGTGGCTAACTCGGCTTTCCTGCTTAAGGCATCTGCCACCACGTTTGCTTTGCCTGGCTTGTACTCTAATCGATAATCAAACTCAGCAAGAAAATTTTGCCAGTGAGCTTGCTTCGGGCTGAGCTTCTTTTGTGTTTGGAAGTAGCTCGTAGCAACATTGTCTGTCATAATAGTGAACTTGCTCCCAAGTAAATAATGACGCCAGGTTCGTAGACAATGGATAATGGCAGACATCTCTTTTTCTTGTACCGTGTAGCGCCTCTCCGTGTCATTGAGCTTGCGACTCTCGTACGCAATAGGGTGTCTTTCTTGCATTAACACGCCGCCTATTGCGAAGTCTGAGGCATCGGTGTGTACCTCAAATGGCCTGGAGTAGTCGGGCAAGGACATAACAGGCTCTTGCGCGACCATCTGCTTGAGCTTTTCAAAAGCATCTTGGCAATCTTGTGACCATTGCCAAGACTTATTCTTCTTGAGTAAATCTGTCAATGGAGCAGTGATTTTTGAATACCCCTTTATGAACCGTCGGTAGTAGTTCACCAGACCAAGGAATGATCTTAACTTGGGACCTTGGTAGGAGGCTGCCATTCTTAGATGGCTCGAACCTTAGTTGGGTCCATCATGAGCTTTCCATCCTTGATCTTGTGCCCTAAGAAGTCCACCTCTTGTTTGGCAAAAGAACATTTTTTCAGCTTAATGTAAAGTTCATGATCAGAGAGTACCTGGAAGACTTTCTTCAAGTGTTGAGCATGCTCTTCAAGAGTGTTGCTATATACTACGATGTCATCCAAGTATACCACCACGAACTAGTCCAAGTAATGGTGGAACAACTTGTTCATGAGCGTGCAAAACGTTGCCGGGGCATTCGTCAGTCCAAAGGGCATGACAAGAAACTCGAATGCTCCATATCTCGTCACGCAGGTTGTCTTCGGTTCATCACCTGCGGCGATGCGTACTTGATAGTACCCGGATCGGAGATCAAGCTTAGAGAAGTACCTGGCTTTTCCAAGCTGATCGAACAAGTCAGCGATCAAAGGTATCGGGTACTTATTCTTGATAGTAATCTTGTTCAAGGCCCTGTAGTCGATGCACATTCGCAACGATCCATCCTTCTTCTTCTGGAAAAGGACTAGAGCACCATATGGGGCCTTAGATGGTTGAATATATCCTGAATCAAGGAGATCTTGCAGTTGTCTCCTTAACTCTGCAAGTTCTGGAGGTGACATGTGGTAAGGTGCCAAGGCAGGTGGTTTGGCACCAGGCTCCAACTCGATCTGATGGTCTACCTCTCTTCTGGGAGGCAGTTTCTTGGGCAACTCATCAGGGCATGACGTGTTTGTACTCCTGTAACACCTCTTGGATGCAAAGTGGCAAGGTTTCCCGTGGCTTGGTTGGGCCATCTTCTTCCTCGGCCAATGAACGTACAATGGCAATATACCCTTCTGAGTTCTTGAGACCCCTCTTGAATTGCAAGGCAGAAATCATAGGGTTGGATTTCTCCAAGCGTTTCAAGGGGATTACCCGAATCATGTTGGAGTCAATGACCACCATAGACTTGGCTTCGGGGATAGGGAAGCCATGTGCTTTGCAAAAGAAAGCAAGTCCCAATACTACTTTGAAATCATCCATAGGGACAACAGTAAAGTCTAACGTACCTTGCCAGTCCCCGATCTTCACATCCTTAGCAATCCCAAGGACTTGTTTGGCTGGGGAGTTCACTGCCTTGATGGTGCCTTCTCCCTTGTTAAGTTGGATACCTAATCTCTTGGCTTCTTCAGCCTCCATGAAGTTGTGGGATCCTCCTGTGTCGAGCATGGCAGAGGCAAACTTTCCCTGAATAGCAAGATCAGCATAAAGTAGACCCTTCTCTTCCTTCTTAGATGGAGAAAAGAGTCCAGTCAAGGAATTCAAATGTTGGAGGGAACCAAGGTCGATCTGTTGCTCCTTGTCCCGATTATCCTTCATCTCAGCAACCAAGGCATTCATAGCCTTACGGTTGGGGCAGTCACGAGTCCAGTGTGGACCATTGCACATGAAGCATGGCTTCGGTGGCTTTGAGGCATCATGCCTAATTGAGGGTGGTTTATCCTGTCTAGAACTCCCACTAAAGAATGGAAGAATATCTAGATATTTAAATGGAAGAATCTAGAGACAATATTAAAATATTGAGGCTAGAATTGTGTAGGCTTCTCTAGAATGTTCTTGCATTCTCTAGCACTCTTAAGGTTAGCTGGGAGCCTTCTGGAGGGTTCTGGAGCATTCCGGACCTCTTTAACCTTGTGAAAAATGACAAAATGTGACAACACGCCTTTCTAGCATCATGCGCCTAAGACGTTTTACAGGCTCTGTGCTTTAAGTGCGCCTTTCGCCTTTAACAACCTTGGTTGCGACATAGTGTAGTGTAATGGTCACAAACATGCAGCAATTGAACTTGATGAAAAAACAAAATCCTATGACAAAAAATTAAAACTAAATCACTTAGCAAGGGGAAAAGCTGAAGAAAAGTGGAAAGTGGAAATACAATTGAATAAAAGAATGTAAAATTAAAATATTAGACTTCTTAACAATATAACATTAGCTAACTAAATTTATATAACAAATTTCGAGTTGTTTTGTGGGTTTTCTCTTTGCTAAATTGCAGCAGTTGCAAATAAAGGCTATTATTTATCTCCTTTCTTATTCTCTGTAAATAGTCAATTATAGGATATGATTTTGTTTCCTTAATTTTAGCCTCGATTATGATTCTCATTGAATGTAATTAGTGTTCATATTGTAATTGATCAATGATAGTATGAGCTTTGTTTGAATCCCAGTAGTACTTGCAGTAACCTTTTCTCAACATAAGGGTGACCACAAATATATAAATCACTACATGTCTCAAAGCATACAAATTACAGCAACTAGGATTCAGTGATCTGATATTGTCAGTAAAAACATAAGCTGCTGCATTTAGTAAAGAGAAAACCAAAAAAAAAAAAAAAGAACAGCTCTAATTTTCGTCTAATTTTTATTCAAGATGCATGCAGTAACTATTAGGGTTTTGAGAGTTTTGGTTAGTCACATGTCAGCCACTCAAACCCCAAATAATCCAACAAAAATAGGAGAATTACATCTAACCTAATTCTCACTTATCCTTATTAAAAAAAAAAAAGAAAATTACGGATCAGGTATATTAAATTAAAAGGCACTATATTTCATTTACATCAATGACTTGAGGCACCTCATGACCCAAAGAGAGCAGACAAAATGAGTGGCTGGTTTCAAGCTTACTCTAATCTTACGCGCATCACCAATCAAGAGGTGCTACAGAATCAAATTTTCCAAATGGCAAGACTCAAGCTGACTGATTGAGGTTTCTAGCATTTAAAGATGTGATTACCCTTTTGTGATAGTTGTGAGATGCAATTAATACTTGGGACAACTCAATTTTTCCCGTAATGGGAGTCAAGCTTGATTTGAGACAAGAGATTTGGTACAGGTTCTGTCTTGCCTCAAGATGGCCACCCAATTGCTTACGTGAGTAAGGTGCTTTCTTCATCCAAGCGATTTCACTCAGCATATGTCCATATGACATAGAACTCACAGCAATTGTATTGGCTACGAACCATTGGCGGCAGTACCTTGCTAGACATCCATTCATCAAATGGGACCATCTTAGAATAAAGCATCTTTAGCAGGAAATAATTTCAGCCTATCAGGAAAAGTGGCAACATAAACTTAGGAGTTCAAAGTATAATGTTGAAAAGGGAAAAGAAAATTTTGGCAGCTGATGCATCTCCAGGAGGAATCATGAGAACAAAGAGGAGGATAATCATCCTGATTCAACCTGTCTTCCTATCATTTCCAAAGTGTCTAGTCTCCACAACCAAATTAAAGAATCATGGCAGAGAAATGAGGCATTGCTAAAACGAATTTCCAAGCTAAAAAATTGCAGTTTTGCATTAAAAGTGAAGTGTGTCTGTGATGTGTACATGAGTAACAAGTGCATCAGAGAAGCGAACTCCTTTCCTTGCACTGGTAGTGATGTTGGCACATGCATTTGCCTTGGTTCAATTCTGGGACTAGATTGGAAAAATAGATAGAATATTTTGTGCCTTCATAACAGTTGATTTGTTGTTTTGAACATGTAGATAATTATATATATGTATGTATGTATTCATGTGACCATTTCTTTAAATTTTAAAATTGTCATATCAAGAGTCGGGGAAAAAATCAAAAGATTTGGAACAAAAGGTGCATAAAAGATGAAGGAAAACTTTTGGCTGCAAATAGTGATATTAAAGACAGATGGGAGGCATACTTTTACAAGCTTTTCAATTGTGGAGGGGTCTAATGACTTGAAGGATTTAATAACTCCAAAAGGAGAACAAAATTTGACATTTTATCAAAAGAATCACAATAGCAAGGTTAAGAAGGCTCTTAAGAAAATAGAAAATGGCAAAGGCACTAGACTTGACAGTATCCCTCTTGAAGTAAGAAAATGTTTATATGAACAGGGAGTGCTGTGGCTAGCTAAGCTACTTGATGAGATCTTATGGTCCAAAAAAAATGCTTGACAAATGGAGAAGCACCTTAGTTCCTACTTATAAAAATAAAAGTGATATTCAGAATTGTGCAAACTACAGAGGGATTAAGCTTATAAGTCATACAATATAATTGTGCGCAAGAGTAATTAAACATAAGTTGAGGTTGGGGACTACTATTTCTAGGAACCAATTCGGTTTCATGCCAAGAAAGGCCATAACAGAAGCAATTTATCAATTAAAAGAATTAATGGAGAAGTATGGAAGTAAAGGTAGAGATTTACACATGATTATCATTAATCTGGAAAAAGTTTATGATTGTCTATCAAGAGAAGTATTTTGAAAACCCTTGAAAAAAGAAAGGAGTTCACATTGCTTCTATTAAAGCTTTGCAAGATATATATATGTGGGGGCAGCAACTAGTATAAAAACATCTAGCAGTGAGACGAATGACTTTCCTATACGAATTGACCTACATTAGGTTGACATTCTATGGACAAAATTTGCATGTCCTATCAATTAAGATTTGTGCTAATTGCCAAATCAATAATCTATAAACAGTTACATCAAGAGAAAGTGTACCTCCAGGATTGGATTTGGCGTAAATTCAGGACGCAAAACTTCCTCTTTCCCATCCGGAGCAAGGTCAAGCATCTTTACTAAGTTATCAGTTGCCTCTAGCTGCTGTTGATTTGGCTGCAAATATGCTGGTAAATTACTGAAAGATGGGAATTGAAACTCTCGCACATCCTCAGCAAAAGGAAGCACATTTAAGTAAAAGGAATCCATCTGCACAGCATGACTCAAAAACCTAAAATTTAGTTGAAAGAATCAAGGGCAATAAAAGGAATACAATAATGAAAAGAAAACCTCACAATATCTTCTCTGTCAGATATATTGGGCGTCAAGACCCCAATGGAGAGATTCCCCTGTCCTTGTCTCCAAACACAGCGTAATATTGCTACCTTATTCATTTCCTTCATGGCCCTTGCTAGTGCTGAAACTGCGAGAGTAGCCTTTATATTTTCTGGTTCAGCTATGAAAATGAAAACATCTTTCATGTAATGATGTCTTTATGGGACATTGTAGATCAGAAAAGAAAAGAGAAAAAATTAGTCAACAGAGCATCCTTTAAAAAAAAAAAAAAATTAAACAGGACAGTAGGACCAAACAAATATAAATATTTACCTGAATATGTTTGAATAATCAGTAAATCCTAGAAGCTTAACACCCTTTTCTGGTTTAAACTTAACAGCTTCCCATTCAGCAGAGGATATAGGAACTATTTGAGGCCCGTAACTATAACCTTTGATTCTTTGATCTGGTGGAACAACATTTTTAGAATCTTCAATATTTTTGTATTCGAAATCTACCTTGACTTCATGTGTAGCAGTTATATCCGTTGTAGGTGCCTTGTCAGAATATTTCTTCAGGGCTGGAAACTTCTCTTCAGCTGTTTTCTTGTACACCCATACCTGATCACCATCCATGTTTTGATGAAAAAAGAATTTCTTTCATTAAAAAATGCAACAGCGTTGCTAAAATATTTGCAGAAAGAGCATCCCCTTGCTAGAATAAGAGCAAACATCCAGACAACAGAAACATGCCATGTTGACTATATACAACTCATAAAACACTAATCATTCAATATTCGTGATTAAATTTTAGTTCAGAAGAAAGTACAATAACCCGGAAATAATGCTCAATCAAGGAAGTAGTAGATGCTAATAAGATGAATACGACATTTAATATCTAATTCACAAAACAATAATATGAGAAAGAAACAAAAAATTACACACCAAGTTTCATTTTGTCTTAGAAAACGACTGCAACTACAGTTACAAATGACAGTCAACATGGACCTGACAATGAGATTTACATTATTCAAAAGATCTCACCTTAATCCTCAATTTAGGGCTAACTTCAAGATCGCCTCTGAAAATTGTAACGAGAGATATATTTCGAGCTCTAAGAGCACCAAACAGTGAGATTGAATCCTCCACATACAGCATCCTGGCATCTGTTTCCTTTGAAAAAATACTTAACAAACTATCATTCTCATCCATTATTCTCTTATTTACAGCATGACTATGCTTTCCTCTCACAATAATACTTTCCATTCTCATGCCATAAGTTGTCATCTGTTTAGCAATTGTGGAAACCTGATCTTCCTTTTTTCCTTCAAATGGATCTTTTATCGGACAATGTGCATTAGTAATAAGACAAAGACGTTTCTTTCCCTTGTTAGTGTCTCCAAATTTCTTTATAAGCATATCCATCCCAACAATTATAGCATCAAGAACTACAACCAAAGTTAAGGCATCAAGAGAAGTATGATACACCATTAAAGAAGTAATGACCACAACCAGAATGAAAGGTCCAACTTTCTCTTGAAAATTCAATCTTATGCAATTATGCCAAAAAGAAGATCCATTCTATTTCAATAAGACAGAGAATGATGTTCAAGATCGAATTTGTCATATAGCACAAATATTTTCTTCAAAAATGAAGAAAACATTAAAAAAAAAGTTATTTGTTGAAGGAAGTTGCCAGATGGAATAAGATATATCTGTTTCATGAGTACAGATCAATAAGCATTCAGCATTACAGTGAACAATCAGATACTTTTGTACCTCTCTGGTCTCAAAGCAGAGAGCATGCAAAAAGATAGTCAGAACTGGTTGTGTGAAACTAGTTAGTTGGTGGCATAGGGTAGTTTAAAATATTTCAATGCTGATCAGCCAAAATGCACAGATTTTAAATTGAACAAACAAATATAAAAAGGTAGAAATTTTCCCAAAATAAAACCAAGAACTCAAAGGATACAATCACCACTAGCAGGTCCCCTAGGCAGTTGCTGTAATGCGTCAACAATATCTCCATCAACAACCTTGATATTTTTTAAAACCATGACATGTTCATACCCACCAACTTCCGCTGTCAATTCATTGTCAGTTTCTGAAAAGTGTCCATATAAAAATAGGTGAGACAAAATGAGCAACGAAAATTCTCATCTGGCATGTACCCCGCCACTTTAACCCTTAATGAAACTAATAACAACCACGTGGACTCAATAACCATCCCGTGTCATGAAGATCAATATACCTTTTGTTCCAAATAAGACAATTCCAGCTTCATCATATTTGCTATGTATCAACTGAAAATATTCAAGGGGTCATGTTATTGTAAAATTTAGAAAACAAAAAAAGTTGAAACAGTAGTAGAACTAGAAAATTATGAAAGACAGCATGCATTACTTTTTTTACAATAAGCATGGAACAGGCTTTCTCAATCTCAGGAAGAACACTGTGCATTGAAGGACCAACATCAAGCAGCAAAAGCAACGATTCCTGATTCCAGAATATAGTAACAACGATCCAAAGAAATTGTTATGCATATGGCACGAAAAGAAAAATATAAATAACCATGCTTGTTCGCAGAAATTGCGAAGATGAAAAACAACAGAAGCCGAAATTTGGCCAAGTTCTCAAAAGAATTCATAAAGCCATTAAATAAGAAGGAAAAAACCCTAAACCCTTCGGATTGGAAAAAGAAAAATAGAATTTTAACTAGAAAAATGAAAAGGAAAAGAAAGAGCAAAATTGCCAAGAATTTGCCTTGTTTCGAGCCATTGCAGGGAGAAGCGAATAGTGAAGAGAGCTTGCAGAGGAAGCTGGTTTCTAGTGGAAAATTGAAATGTGTTGTTTGACCAGGAGCTGCTTAATTCTCTTCCCGCTTTCCTTCCAAATGAGAAATGACCCAACCACCCTCGTTCTGAAGCTGTTTAATAATAATTTAAAAAAAGATTAAATTACATTTTTGCCCTTATATTTTTCTTCAAAGAATGCTAGGTACCCTATGTTAACAAGTGAAGTATTTTTTCTTCCAACTATTTTTCAGAGGAGCAAATGGTTTAGGAAAAAAAATGTTCCATTTATCAGTATAGCGTGTCCAACTCTCCTTAAAGGAAAGTATAGGAACAAAAATGCAATTTAACTTAAAATTAAACATTAGTGACTACTTTAATTTGAGTAATGACTAATTTGTATAGCGAAAGTTATAATTGCTTGTTTAATTTTGATCATTGCTTAAATTAAAGTAGTTACAAATATTTACAATAATTGAATTTCAATGAATCAAAAATTTGTACAAGAAAAGTCATAATTAGTTGTTTTATTCTAATCATTGTTAAAAAAATAGTTATTGCTTAAATTAAAGTATTTACTAATATTTATTTATTTTTATTTTAAACTGAGTGTATTATTGTTATTTTAGAAAAAAACCATTAATGTCTGAAAGGTCCTAAGGGACTTGAGAAGAATAATGACATTTCGCGAAATCTCAATGTCATTTTCATATTTCAAGAGATTAAAGTATATTTTTCTTTGTACTTTTCTTCGAGAAGCATTAGACACCTTATATTAGTAAGTGGGGCATCTTCCCCCCCAAACCATTTTCCAGAAGACCAAAAATGCCACTCTATTAAATCGCCCTCTGTTAATGAATCACAGCCAAAGGAGAATTTTTGTTTCTCTAGAAAATGATTTTGGAAAAAAATGCCTCACTTATTAATATAAGGTGCCCAATGTTCTTGAAAAGAAAGTACATGGGCAAAAATGTACTTTAATCCTAAAAAAATTTATAAAAATGTGTATAATTCTTATGTTGAAAGTATGCATGAAATTATTAGATGCTATGATGATCTAATCCCAATTAAAATATTTAAACAAAAAATATAAGGAAGGCAAGTTGGATGAGAGTGATGACAGTTAGATCGTGATAACACATGCATTGATGCCATAGGCACGAGAGTAGTCATTCGTTGTATAGTGTAACATCATAAAATTTTAATATAAGAAACTAATTACTAATTATAGGATAAATTAATAATTTAGTGTATTAATTAAATAATTAGGATTTTGGATGGTAATTTGAGGCTTTGACCTCTTGGGTTGTTGAACAGAGAGGATCGGGCAAAAGAATGGTGATCCAGAGTGAACTGTGCAAGCGTGGTGAGATTTTCTTCGTGTGCCACACGTCGAGATATATACTTTATGTGCCATAGCGCATGACATATAATTTGCTTAAGTCAGACGTATCATAGTTAGTATAACAGAGTGGAAAAAGGGGGAACGAGGCACGGTGGAGAGGAGAAGAGTGTGTGCTCTACCAGGGCAAAGAATATTAGGCCGTTAGGAGATATTTTTGACTTGTCGTTTGTCGGGTAAGTTTCGTACCACCCTAAGCTCCTATTCTACACCAATTTTTCTTATGATGAGTTATAGAAAAATTGAATTAGAAAGTTTTAAGGAGTTGTTTCCTTACCCTTTTGTAATAAAAAGACTCTTTAGAGTTAAATTAAGGTTTTATGAGTGGTTTGAAAGTTACTGGCTAAGCTTTGAACCTATAAGCTTAAGTTAGCCTAAATTAATAGTTTAAATAGACTGAAAGTTTGATAAGAAGTGTGTTAGGGCTTGGAAAAAGGACAAAAGGACCTAATAGGATGATAAGAGCTTAAGATGAGTAAATGAAAGTATTTGGATGCTTAATTGTGACAATTAGTATTTTTAGTCATTTTGATAAATTTGTATGTTGGTTATACGAAAGGAATTTGAGCGAGACTTTAGTGCCACAGACAACTAGTCTAGCACAAAAGAGTTGAGGAAAATAGATAAGTTAGTGTGATTTATAATTGAAATTAGTTGTTATGTTGAAATTGCACATCTCAAATGAGCTTAACACGAAAAAGATTTAATTATAAATTGGAATGATTTTAAAAAGTTTCCTTAAAGTAAGTTATTATACAAATATGTGTGAATGTAACTATATGTGTGTAAAAGTGACTATATTTAACACGAAGAGGGTGGGAGTTTACCCTGAGTGTGTGGAGATGTATGTGTCAAAAATCTATATAGTTGGGCTGGCACTATGGGACCTTCGATGTAGCATTACATTTAGGACTGTTACCATAAAACATTTGGATAGTCTAGCAAATCCTTAATGCTTAAAAGGGTGCGGTTAGGAGTCAATGACACCCCTATAGTGTGTGTATGAAAGGGGGAATCCATAGTCCAGAAATGGAATAAAATACCTTTGGCCTAGTGTTTCTACCATTAAAGGTGTACTCGAATCAATATGTGATTGGTTTAATAGAGTTTATGGGTTTAATTAGGGATCTTGGAGGTTTGATGGATAGATGATTATACAAGTATGTTATAGAATTTTGTGAAAAATCATTATAAATATTGATATGTATGATTATATGTGTATAAGTTTTTAGATTTAAAGAACAAAATGATTCTTGTTTACTTATTTAGAGTTAATCCTATTAATAGACATTTGATGAGTTATCATATTTACTGAGATTTTTATCTCACCCGTGGTTATATATTTTTACAAGATTTGATATTGGGAGCTTAAAAGGGAAAGAGTTGGGCCGAGACTAGTAGATCTCTTATTAGTCCTCCGGGGTTGGTATGATGAACCTATTTGTTGTAAATAATGTATTACGTATAAATTGCCATAGGACTATATATATATATGTATATATACATATCAATTTTGATGTCCTTATGTGTGTATCTATGCAACTTAGCCTTATAACTTGTATATTTTTGTTTTGTGATGAGTATTGTACATAAGGGCTAGGGTATCATTATATGTGCATATGTATTTGTGTGTTTGGTGTGAAAGAGTATGAAGGTTGGCCAGGTGTGGATGTATATATATTTATATATGTGAAAGTGTGATTTTTGCCTTGGTGTGTGCTTAACGGCAATTTAGCAACCAAACTTGTGTGCATGTGTAATATTGTTTGTATAAGTAACTAATCAGGTGTTAAATGTTCTATTGTGTATGGTCAAGGCCTTAGAAATGTCTAATGACACTTGGCGGCACAGAGACCAAACGAAAAGAGAAACTTTGATTTTATTTCAAGACTCCTCATATAGAAAAGTTAGTCCTATTTATAGTACTAGGACTTTGAACGAAACAGGCAAGCAGAGAAGAAGTTACAAATGTAAATGCTAGATGTTTTTTTGGCTTAATGAAGGTGTAAATAGAAAACAACATTTCTGCTTCATTTTTGTAACTCTCATGCGTCTGTTTTGTGTTCGTTTCAGTGCATTTCATCCTCTCAGGTTCAGTAGAACCCACCCTCAAGTCAAATTTAGCATCATGATCAATGTAAGGAGATAGATTAGCAACATTGAAAGTGGCAAATACTCTATAAGAACCAGGCAATTCCACTTTATAGGCATTGTTGTTGATCTTTTGCACAATCTTAAATGGACCATCAACTCTTAGGGATAGCTAGGCGTTTGATTGTTTAAGAAATCGTTCCTTTCAAAGATGTATCCAAACCAGATTCCCACATTAAAATATTGATACTTCCAATGCTTGTAACTCAAGTTCTGCTTTTGTATTCATTCACAAACTTGTTCATGTAGCTTCTTGATTTCCTTAGCCCTTTGGTCAACATCAGAACTATATTGCTGCTTATCCAGAGAAGGGGTCAAGACTAGTGGACTAAGGGGATGAGTGTCGTAAACAACTTTGAACGGACACTTCCCAATTGCTTGGTTGATAGAGTTATTGTAGGCAAATTTAACTTGAGTAAGGATGAGGTCCTATTATTTTAAATTCTTCCTTATGAAACTGCGAAGAAGATTACCAAGAATCCTGTTTACAACTTCAGTTTGACCATCTGTCTGAGGGTGACTAGTGTGCTAAACTGAAGCTTAATTCCCATTTTCTTCCATAGCATCCGCCAAAAGTACCTGAGAAACTTCACATCATGATCAGAAGTGATAGTCTTGGGAATGCCATGAAGATGAACAATCTCCTTAAAGTACAGGTCTGCTACTTGAACAACATCGTTGGTCTTCTAGCATGAAATGAAATGGGCCATTTTTAAGAAACAATCTACAATTACCATGACAGAATCTTTTTGTCTCTGAGTCCGTGGTAAAATCAGAACAAAATCCATGCTCACATCTTCCTAAGGTGCTTCTAGAATTAGCAAAGGCATGTATAATCCACTATTCTGACCCTTGGACTTGGCCAAGTAGCAAATTTTGCATTTCTATATATGCTTGTTGACATCCCATTCAAGTTGAGGCTAATAAAATTTCTCCTTCACTAGGTCAACTGTTTTATCTTGTCTGAAATGTTCGGCTAATCTACTATCATGTGCTTCCCAAATTATAGCTTCCCTCAAGGAACCTTATAGAATGCATAGGGCTTTGCCTTGAAATAAAAACCCATCATGTCTATATAACTGGTCGAAAGGTTGATTTGTAGTTGCTTCCCACACTCTTTAAAAATCAGGATCATCCTGGTACAACTCTTTGACACATTCAAACCTAACAACTTTGGCCTGCATACAACAACACATGTCGACGTCTTAGGGCATCAGCTATAGAGTTCAAAGTTTTAGCCTTATGCTTGATAAGGAAAGAATAAGACTATAAGAGTTCACTCCAATGGGCATGTCTATGGCTGATCTTCTACTGAGAATTTAAAATACTTGAGAGTCTTATGATACAAAAAAAGAGCATGAATTCTTTGTTGAGGAGATAATGACTCTAATGTTGGAGAGCTCAAATAATGGCATAAAATTCTTTGTCATAGGTAGAATACCTAAGCTTAGCATTGTTGAGCTTCTTACTAAAAAAGGCAATGGGATGTCCCTCCTAACTTAAGACAACACTAATGTTAGTGTTAGAAGCATCATAGCTAACTTTAAATA